GGCTCCAACTATTACCAATCCTGCTCCTTCTACGACAACTCCTGCTCCAACAACGACAACACCGACTCCGACAACTCCAGCTCCTACAACGACAACCCAGGCTCCAACTACTAGGACTCCTGCTCCTACTACGACAACCCCTGCTCCAACAACGACAACACCTGCTCCTGCAACTACAACACCTGCGCCTACAATGACAACACAGGCTCCAACTACAACAACCCCGGCGCCAACTACAACAACACCTGCCCCAACCACAACAACACCGGCTCTGACTACGACAACTCCAGCTCCTACAACGACAATACAGGCTCTGACTACTACCACTCCTGCTCCTGCTACGACAACCCCTGCTCCAACAACAACAACCCCGGCACCAACAACAACAACCCCTGCTCCAACAACAACAACCCCTGCTCCAACAACAACAACCCCTGCTCCAACAACGACAACATCTGCTCCTACGACGACATCACCTGCTCCTACAACTACAACCCCTGCTCCAACAACGACAACACCTGTTCCTACAACTACAACACCTGCCCCAACCACAACAACACTCCCTCCCACTACAACAACCCGGGCTCCAACTACAACAACCCCAGCTCCAACTACAACAACTCTTGCTCCTACAACAACATCACCTGCTTCAACTACAACAACTCCTGCTCCTACAACTACAACACAGGCTCCGACTTCGACAACTCCTGCTCCTACAACAACAACACAGGCTCCGACTATTACCAATCCTGCTCCTTCTACGACAACCCCTGCTCAAACAACGACAACACCGAATCCGACAACTCCAGCTCCTACAACGACAACACAGTCTCCGACTACTAGGACTCCTGCTCCTACTACAACAACCCCTGCTCCAACAACGACAACACCTGCTCCTGCAACTACAAAACCTGCGCCTACAACGACAACACAGGCTCCAACTACAACAACCCCGGCGCCAACTACAACAATACCTGCCCCAACCACAACAACACCGGCTCCCACTACAACAACTCCTGCTCCAACAACGACAACACCGGCTCTGACTACTACCACTCCTGCTCCTACTACGACAACCCCTGCTCCAACAACAACAACCCCGGCACCAACAACAACAACTCCTGCTCCAACAACGACAACACCTGCTCCTATGACGACATCACCTGCTCCTACAACTACAACCCCTGCTCCAACAACGACAACACCTGTTCCTACAACTACAACACCTGCCCCAACCACAACAACACTCCCTCCCACTACAACAACCCAGGCTCGAACTACAACAACCCCAGCTCCAACTACAACAACCCCTGCTCCTACAACAACAACACCTGCTTCAACTACAACAACTCCTGCTCCTACAACTACAACACAGGCTCCGACTTCGACAACTCCTGCTCCTACAACAACAACACAGGCTCCAACTATGACCAATCCTGCTCCTTCTACGACAACCCCTGCTCCAACCACAACAACACTGGCTCCGACTACGACTCCTGCTCCTACAACTACAACTCGTGCTCCAACAATGACAACACCGGTTCCGACTACGACACCTCCAGCTCCTACAACGACAACCCCGGCTCCAATTAAGACAACCCCTGCTCCTACAACTACAACACCTGCTCCTACAATGACAACACCTGCTCTTACGACGACAACTCCAGCTCCGACTATGACTCAAGCTCCTACAACTACAACACCGGCTCCTACAATGACAACACCTGGACCTATGACGACAACTCCAGCTACTACAACTAAAACACCTGCTCCTACAATGACAACACCTGCTCTTACGACTACAACACCTGCTCCTACAACTACAACACCTGCGCCTACAACTACAACACCTGCTCCTACAACGACAACACAGGCTCCAACCACAACAACACCGGCTCCCACTACAACAACTCCTGCTCCAACAACAACAGCACTGGCTCCTACTACGACAACTCCTGCTCCTACAACGACAACCCAGGCTCCGACTACTAGGACTCCTGCTCCTACTATGACAACCCCTGCTCCAACAACGACAACACCTGCTCCTGCAACTACAACACCTGCGCCTACAATGACAACACCTGCTCCAACTACAACAACCCCGGCGCCAACTACAATAACACTTGCCCCAACCACAACAACACCTGCTCCCACTATTACAATGGCAGCAACGATAACACCTGCTCCCACTATAACAACAGCAGCAACAACGCCTTCTCTGACAACAACCTCTTCAGCAATAACAACCACTTTGACCCCTGAACCTGTTTATATCATCTCAGCAGGCCTGCCAGAAGAAGAATTTTCAGATGACCTCACTAACCGCAGCAGTAGTCGATTCAAAGATCTTGAAGCACAAGTTTTAGCAACGGTAAGAACATTTTCAAATTGACTACAGTTTTTCATTGATTGTGTCAGCTTTGGGAATGAATGCTTTTTTTGTAGGAAAAAACCTGAAAATTGTACTTACATTTAATTTCTATTTAATTTCAAGTTAATTGTACTTGAAAGCTACTCAAAGTCATTCAGTGTTTCCATTTTTTGCAGTGCACTCCCATATACAAAAAACGATTTCCTATTCGTTTTGTCCGCTGCATTGTAAAAGAGTTCAGGTAAAAACTGTTTTTATATAGTGTTTCACTTTTGTTTGATAAGCAGGATTATGTTATTATGTTCTTAAAATTGGTATGGTCTAGTGTCTATTGTGTCATGTTTAACACAATTTTATACTGAAACAGGGCTGCTACAACCCAAATACGAGCACAAGGAACTGAAGCAGAGTTGGGGGTTGTGTTCAAACGGACTACTCCTCTTGCAGAACTCCCACAGAATAATGTTATTGCTGAAACCTTAGTACAAGGTGTGAATTCCAGCAATAGCTTCAATGTGACCATAAGCGCCTCCTCTGTCAAAGTAGAAGGTAAGTTAACACAACATATTTCACTGTAATCATAATGTAAACATCACAAATGAAGTGCTGCATATGCTCTGTTTGTATCTTGCAATTAGGAACAAGAAATATAAGTCCAGCCAAGTTTCTTCAGAATCCATCCAACAGTTGGGCAGGATGACCTATTTATAACTACCTTGTATTCAGCCAGAATGATTTTTATGTAAATAATTTGTTATAAACTGAAAGAGACATCAACTAATAATTCATAACTACATAATATACTACAGAACTGAACAATCAGCTCTTTCTTAACCTTTTATGATGGCACTTAGTCAGTTCGAAATCAAAAAACAACAAAGACATCATTTTGGTTTGGCATGAATATTTAATTTAAAAACCTGTTTCACAGAGGGTCCAGTGCCAAGTACTGCTGCACCTACAACTGTTGCACCCATGACTGCCAGGCCTACGACTGCCGCACCTACAACTGTTGCACCCATGACTGCCAGGCCTACGACTGCTGCACCTGCAACTGTCGCATCTACGACTGCCGCACTTACAACTGTTGCACCCATGACTGCCAGGCCTACGACTGCTGCACCTGCAACTGTTGCACCTACAACTGTCGCACCCATGACTGCCAGGCCTACGACTGCTGCACCTGCAACTGTCACATCTATGACTGTTGCACCTACAACTGTTGCACCTACAACTGCCAGGCCTGCAACTGCTGCACCTGCAACTGTAGCAGTCACAAAAATCAGGACAACTTTCAGATCTCTTCAAGACACATTTACAAATGACTTGAATGATCCATCATCTGCATCTTTTATAACTCGATCTTCAATGATAAAGGCACAGGTAAGCCTTGAAATTAAATCTGCTGGTACACATAATGACTCATTTTATCAGAGAACTCAAGCACCTACACAAAAAACTGCAATGTTAAGGTAACACTTAATGCAGCCTGTTGTTCAGTATGTAAAAATAAGGCACCACAAATAACAACAATGGTAATACATTTTATTTAGTGGCGCTTTCATGACACTCAAAGTCACCTTACATCATATCAAATATCAATACAATAAAAAAAAAACAATGTAATAAATAAAAATAAAAATTAGATACTTACTAATTGCTACTGCTACTTAAATGTAGGTATGGAGGAAGAAAACAAGACATTGGGCAATAAGGGAGTAAGAACTGGCAAATTCAGAGGGAAAGAGAAATAAATTAAACTTTATTTATTTTTATAAATACTTGGTACCTGTGGGCATAAGTAAGCAGTATTTATAAAAATACTTATTGTATAATTTATTTCTCCCACAGACAGCCAGATTGTTACTCCCTTATTCCGGATAGTCTTGTTTTTAATTTCAAACAACAAAATGACACTGTGAATCATGGGCTGTATTATAGTGTTACCAATTTCATCATTAAAACCAAGCATTAAAGCATACTAAACTTACATATTTATATACCATAAAACTATGTAGTATGAAGAAACACAGCTTGCAAAAGGTTTGGTGTGATGGATACCAGTTGAAAAAATGTGCACACACTGACCAGAAATACACATAAAGAAACATCATATTACTGTAAAAACAGTTCCTTTTGAATCCTGTATTGTTTGTTGCTCGTCATTTTCTTTCTTGTATGTATGACTCCTGGCCTCAATTTGCTTTCTGCACTACAGAAAACACAAAAAAAAACCAAAAAAAGAAACAGGAAAATTAGACAATACTCATCCTCACGCTTGCTAGACAGCATACATAAAAGTTCCCTTATTCAAATTTCCAAAAAGAATGGATTACAAAAGACATAACTGGGACTTTATCAAGACAACTTATCTCATATACACACAGTTCAGTGCTCTAGGGCAAAAATAGAAATACATTGTGTTGTAATACCATTTTTTTTCTGTTTCTGCAGCTTCAACCTATCTTCCAAGAGGCATTCCCATCCTCCTTCAGGTCCTTGGATGTAGTTTCATTCAGGTAATTTGTTAAGACTTATTGTGATACAATTGAATAGTAGTGGCCTAAATCTGATATTTCAACTAATATTTATGTGTTTTCGTTGCAGAAATGGATCAATCATAACTGACATGAACCTTAACTTTGCAAGCACATCTGTTCCTACCAACACTCAGATTGGTAATGTTTTGATCAATGCATCTTCAATCGTCAGCGGCTTCGACATTGAAGGCAGCTCCATCACCGTGAATGGCATAGGTAAGCTATAATGAGTGCTCCTTGATCAAAAATTTCAAAAGTTGCACATCTGTTTGTTAAACTAATATTTTGTTTCCTTTTCTCTTCATTTACAGCTTCAAGTGGAGTAAGCCACAAGATCAGTCTTGCGACCGCATTCTTCCTTATACTTTTGTCATGGCTACTGACAAGCCAGCAATAGCATCAGGGCTGATTTCCTTTGGATTGCCATGAGAACATGACTGTCAACACTAGCATGAAAAAGGACTTTCATCAGGACGTTGTTGGTAAAAGTCCAAGAATCATGATTCTCTTTAGTGGTGTACAGTTTCAGGTTAACTTTTAACTTTACACTAAACTGATATCAATGACAGGGTATTCGGTATGTCTGTTGAACTGAACACATTTCTGTGTGGAAAGTCCAGGATCCTGGGCTGGACAGAATGACACAGTCAACTCTACACACCTGGTCCACTGAATCATCTCTAGAATAATAAGCCAAACAATATAAGAACACTATCTATTAAGCCAAGGGAAGTTATACAATTATTGCACTATTGCACTATTAATATACCAATTCTTCTTGCTTCACTGAGCACTGTGCTGTCGCTATATTGAACTTAGAGTAAATTACTAATAGTTTTGTTCACCAAATAAATACATAAATAAATAAAAGCAGCCAAGCTGGAAAGTAAAACGCTAAAATCACTCACCATTGTCTGAATGCAATCGTAGCTTTATTTTAAAACATGCAGATGTGAGTGAATTGAAATGTAAAATATTAGATTTCAAAGTGGACTTTCTGTGAAGCTAGTCTCAAAATAAAGAAAACTCTATAACATTTGCAAGCAAAGATGAATCAAAATGCTGTTTTGATTAATTGTTTTACTTTAAATGTACTGTTTTACTAAGTTCTAAAAAGTTTAAAATATTTCTATACTGTTCAAATATGTGTGAAAAATGTATTAAAATTCCAGTTTAGGTTTCACTTGATAATATAGCATAGCAGCATCTTTACAGCTCCAGAGAGAGCATATTGTAAAGCCAACAAGTATCTTAAATTAAATGAATGAACACATGCAGTTCATAGTGGGCTGGACACCCCAACCCTGAACCAATGCATAGATTCATTAAGGGTAATGGTATACATGATATATACTGTATGTTAAACCAATGTATTGTCAATGTTATGATTAATACAGTGTGAATTTATACAATAATGCATAGCAGTATTCTGTGAGATTTCTTGTACTTGTACAATTTCTGTAAGAAACTTTGCAATGATCAGAATACAAAATATTTGAAGAATTTGAATGATCCCTGGTGACGTGTATCAGGGCTTTTTTTTTATGTCAGCATTTTAATGAAATAACAAAGTCCTGTCATAAAATAAAAATTTGTAATAGTATCTTCAGTCTGTCTCAAACTTTGTTGTGTCAGTGTATCGGATTGGTTCAGAGAGAAAGAACAGGGAGTGGTGTATAGTTTACTTTGGCTATGAGATCTTTATTTATTAAAATACTGCCAGTCTGAGAGACACATTGTTCTTAAAGCACATCAAACTCAGAGCAACCACCAGCATCAAAACCAGTTCTTATTACTTAAAGTTGCAACAAGGAACTTTTTGTTGATAGTGGCCCCTGTAGACATGAAATCCCACCATCCGAAGGCATATATATAAAAACTTCTCTCTCACCCTCTTGGGGTGGTATCTGTGTCATTCTCAAACTCGGGTCCTCTACCAGAGGCCTGGGAGTTTGAGGGTTCTGCGCAGTATCTTAGCTGTTCCTAGGACCAAGCTCTTCTGGACTGAGGCTTCTGATGTTGTTCCTGGGATCTGTTGGAGCGACTCCCCCAGTTTGGGGGTCACTGCCCTGAGTGCTCCTACTACCACGGGGATCACGCTCGCCTTGACCTTCCACATCTGCTCCAGCTGCTCTTTCAACCCTTGGTACTTTTCAACCTTTTCATGTTCCTTCTTTCTGATGTTGGCATCTGCTGGTATGGCCACATCTATCACCACCGCTTTCTTCTGCTCCTTGTCTACCACCACTATGTCTGGTTGGTTGGCCAGGACCTGGAGTCTGGAAGCTGAAGTCCCACAGCACCTTGGCCCTGTTGTTCTCAGCCACCTTCTGTGGTGCAGCCCATTGGGATTTGGTACTTCTATTCCATACTGGGTACAGATGTTCCTGTACACTATTCCAGCCACTTGGTTGTGTCTATCCATGTATGCTGAACCGGCTAGCATCTTACACCCTGCTACTATGTGCTGGACTGTCTCAGAGGCATCTTTGCATAGTCTGCACCTTGGGTCAGATCTACTCTTGTAGATCTTGGCCTCTATGGCTCTTGTACCTAGGGCCTGTTCTTGTGCTACCATGATCAGTGCCTCTGTGCTGTCTCTGAGTCCAGCCTTTTCCAGCCATTGGTACGTCTTCTCGATATCAGCCACTTCTTCAATTTGGCGGTGGTACATGCCATGTAGAGGCTTGTCCCTCCAGGTTGTCTGCTCCTCTTCCTCTGCACTCTTATCAGGTTTCTGTTGCATGAGACATTCACTTAGCAGTTCATCCTTTGTGGCCATTTTACTGATGTACTCTTGGATTTTGGAGAGCTTGGTGTATTTCCTGGGTGCCCCTTTATTCACCATGTTGCCCTTCTGTAGCTCTGCTAGCTGGCTAACTTCTCTCCGTGTTGCCCTTATCTTGGCCTCTAATCTAATTCTCCACGGTGGATGCTGCTATATATATATATATATGTGTGTGTTAGTTATGTAAGTGCCGCGCCAGAGCGCAGTGTCTTTACGCACGACGGTTGGCTGAGTTTACCTTCATTAAATCGCCTGAAAACAAGAGCAAGCTGCTACTATATAAACACAAAGAGCTCTACATACTTATGAAGGAGACGTCCAGTTACCCAGGCTAATCTTAGCCGCATCCAACTTTCTTTTTTGAAAAACGTAGCGTCTCATGTTTCATCCGTGAAACACACTGCAGTGCAAATGCGGTTGAACGAGGTGAGATACATTAGAATTATGACTAAAAGAGCATAAGTCACCAAATCAATGTCTTTGTTTTGATACAGCATTTAATAATTGCCACCTGTGATCTATATTCAACTTCACCCAGCCCTTTTGCAAGTTGCGCTGCTAAACATACATGGACCAAATGCGCCTGTAAGACCACCTTGCGCTTCTCATTAAAAAAGGTGCAAATTCTTAAACTCAGGGTGCAATGCATGTTTGCACCCTCTTAGAACCGGGCAATATGAAATCTGAATATAAAATCACTATTATTACATATTACAGAAAAATAATAGCAATGAAAAAATAAGAAGAAGAAAAGAAAAAAAAAGAGAAAAGAAATAATGATTAAATGATAAAGAAAAAACATGTTTGGTTTTCTCTGAAAAATAACTATTTAAATTAATGCATTAGCAGCATAAAAATATGTTTTAATTAATGGATTAAGAAATGAAAAACTGTGAATTTAAGTATCTTATTATTGTATTTCTTATATATTGAATTTTCAATTATTATTTTGTTTGCCCATATGAACAGTGAACTTCCTAGCTACAGTAACTTGTAGCATATAATTAATATTAGTAACAGTGTATCCTGTGTATCTATTTGTAAGTGTTTATTATCATAATGCATAGCTTAGTTTCAGTGACGTCTTTGGCTACGTGGTTGTGCGTTGTTCTTGCATTGCTCTTCCTGGAGATCGGCTGGCAATCAAACAGAGTGATGAGTCATGAGCCTGTATACTTGTGTGATAATTAATGATTAGATTAGTTTTGTCTAGTGTTTTTAAACCTGTAATAGCAACAATAAAACAACAATAAACATTTTGCTGTACAGAAAAAACAAACACCTCAAGAGACAATGATGCAGCTCCAAATCTTTAAACAATGTGAGTTTGCTCCTCCCTCACTTAAAGGTTATTGTGAGTCATTGTGTTGCACATTTTCATAATTCAGACATGAAGGGCAATAATCATATGGTTCATTACTACAGCACTGGTGCAACAAATGTAGAATATAACCTTACAGTACATCTTTTATTTTATACTGCGGTGTATTGTGGGACATTCTGTGTGTTAAATTATTGTGTTTTACTTACACCCTCTGGCTCCTGATGTAAGATCGACCAGAACAGTGGAACTAATTTGTGTTGCAGAGAGACCTAAAAAAACAGAATTTAAAAAAAGACATTGTAAGAGAGGGAATGTTGTTGATTTATTTATTGTTGGTTTAGACAAAAAAAAACTTTTTTTTATTATTTCTTAATTACAATTTAATTTATAATTTATTTTATAGCCGTTTCTGAGGTCCCTGTGTTTAAAGATTGTCAGAACCAGTTCAGGGCAGGAGGTGAAGAATTTTCATATCTAATTGTGATCATATTTATTATTATTATTTTTATAATTACCATGTTTTTATATATAATAAAATATAAATTTTTCAATACCCTGTGGTCATATCCCTGGATATAATAAAGAAGCAAAGATGAACCAAATATGTGCCAAGGTATTCCCATGTTGATCCACAGGGGGAGACATAACACCTTAAAACGTGTGTGCAGTAGTGTGTGGAGTATCATTTTAAATTGAGATAAAAGTGAAAAAAGTTGGTGTGCTTGTGACATAATATGAAATAGACTACTCATTTTCATAGGCCAAATTAAGTCCAAAACTACAATTCATCCGATAGGATGTAACTCAACATGCCTATGTTCAACGACAGTGGTAAAGCCGGTGAAACCTGTGCATCCACAAAGCCGCAGATTTTATGGATCCAAACCTCTCTTCTCTGTTTTCTCGTAAGGTTTTTAAAATGTACATGAGAAAAAAAATATTTAATTAATAACAATTAATAATTTGTCTAAACCAACAATAAAATCAACAATACTCCCTCTCTTACAATCTTTTCATTTCTGAATGTGTTTTCAAATCTCTTTGTAACACAAAGTAGTTCAACAGTCCTCATAGAGCTTACATTAGAAGCCAGAGGGTACAAGAAAAAAAAAACCACAGTAATATAACACAGAGTATCAACAATGTTTCCAAAACATTTTGTGGTACATCTTTTCGACTGTCAGATTGTCCTCCCAAAACAATATATAGATAAGTATATCTTGTTAGTGCAGTTTATGCAAATGTGATAGGTACTGTTAGCTCCTATTCCAAATTTACTGCAGCAGTGCTGTAGTAATGAATCTTATGATTATTGCTTGTTAATACCTCAATTATCTAACAATAAGCTTTATGTGAGGGAGGAGTGAACTCACATTATATAAAATTTGGAGCTGCATCATTTTCTCTTGAGCAGTTTGTTTTTCCTGTTTTATTGATATTTTATTGCTATTACAGTTTTAAAAACACAAGACAAAACTAATCTGCCATCAATTATTACATAAGTATAAAGGCTCATCACTCTGTTTGATTGACAGGTGAATTTCAAGAAGAGCAATGCAAGAACAATGCAGTAGCCAAAGACATCACTGAAACTACAAGCTATGCATTCTGACAATAAACATTTAAAAAGACAACAGGATACACTGTGACTAGATATTAATTATATGCTACAAGCTACAGTAGCTAGGAAGTTCACTGACTGAACAAAAAAATGGAGCAAACTTCGATATACTTCAATAAAATACTTATTCATAACTTAATCCATTTATCAATGTTATGATGCTCATACCGGTCACATTCATTTAAAGAATAATTCCTACATACTTCTGGGACGTATAAAAAAATAAGTGATATAAATAATTGTAGGCCATATCGTCAATCATACCTTCATATTTTGGCGAGTTTGAGATTTTGTGTGGTCTTCAAAAGTCTTGCATTTACCTGGAAGAACCCTACAGAAACCCTGTTAAAGCACCTGTGTATTTGCATTTATTACAACAATATGCAGCAAATTGTCAACTTTTGTTATTGTAATGATGTGTTTGACATTGAGGTTCGAAGCAAAATACAGGTATTCAACATTTATTAAATATACTGATTTCATCCTGGATCATGTTGATGTCATGGATTTGTTCAGAGATTTGGGATGAAATTAAATGCATCACTTTGGATGTGTCGATATAAATATAATTTCTGTGTACCTTAATTGTATTGTACCGTCTATTTAAAGATTTACTCTAATAACTTGATATCATTCAAAATATTTGTTGAGTGTTACTTTTTCCATTACTTGTGTCACTTTACTTACTGCTTAATTGCAACTTCACAAGAATTCTATATTTATTTGTTTGTCATAACTTAACACACTGGTAGAAATTCCTTCAACAATAACAGGGGTGGAATGCAACAGCAACTTGTTTCACAGATAAACAAAGGAGTATGCCATTGTACTGAGACATGAAAATGACAGGTGACAGCCATTTGTTTTTTTAATTGTTCAGAAAAATGTACCACGTATGAGTCACGTCATAAGCCTCTATTCAATTCCAATATAAGAACGCCTTGATGTATGAGGACTGTCACATAAAGGTGAAAGGTTTACAGTATATCACAGACTGGACTGAATTAAAATATACTAAAACAGTTTGGGGAAAAAAGCCTCTAAAGCAGAATTTGTAACTTTTCATCCTATTTATTTTCATCTTGGGTAAGTAGAGTTTGAACTCTATATATGCACTTTTGTATATTTACAGACTGAGACAGAGACAGACAGAAAGAGAGAGAAAGAGAGAGAGTCTGTTTAATGTTTCTGTTTAGCTTTTTTTATTGTACAAATAAATTCTATTCATGAACTTTGTCCTAAATTTAGGATGCATTTCAATTTCAGTATGAATGATGAACTTAAATTATGTGTTATTCTCAAATTATATATATCAAATTAAGTGTGTCACGTATTTGTGAAATACAATATTGTGTGAACAGTTTCTCTCTTTAGCCCGGATGAATTAAAAGCACAATTTAAAAGGGTTTTTTCTCCATTATTGTGACACAACTGTTTTACAGCACAGCAGGAATCAGATACAAATGAGTATAACAATTAATTTACTAATCATAAGAATTTGACTCAGCTTTGGATCTTGTGAAGATCTCTTTTAGTCCAACAATGGGTCAGAAGTGAGCATCCCTGCAGTAATAGGGGTTCAGTGCTTTACTCAAAGACATTTCAGCAACAAGGTTCATATTTGTGAACACTTACACGGACTGAGTGATAGAAGTAGTTAAAGAGCAGTCTCCTCACTCGAAGCATGTATATTCCATCAGATCTGTTTCATTTAAAACATAATTGGATTCTAATACTCACATAATAGAGGAAGTAATGATTCTAGTGGCTAGTAACTGGAGTGCAAAATGTTTCAACATGCTGTTTCTGTAACACTCTGTATTGTTTGACTTTATAGATTCAAAAGGAAGACAAGATGGGTGTCAGAGGGGTCACATCAATTTTCCTGATTCTAATGGGTAAGCTAAGTGACATTAAACCGACTGCATTTTAATTGTCACTACACATGCTGATATACAAGTTGAGGAGAACCATAGAAAATTATGGTTCACTCCAGAACCTCATCCTTTTACGGAGTATGTTTACAGTACATTACGATAATTAGGCTTTAATATTTAATGGTAAGAATTTTGAAGAAGCGGCTTAAATGTTTTACACTTTATTTATGTTCTAAAATCAGCAAAAAAGTAATCAAATTAGGAAAGGGCATGACAAGTAAATTAATTATTATTTTATTTTAAATGTATTCCACTTGTTAGCTACACTTGAAACTGGCAAAACTACAACTCTCGCTCCTACAACAACAACACCTGCTCCAACAACAACTTCTGCAAGTACAATTATAACACCTGTTACTACAACAACAACGACGGCTCCGACTACAACATTGGCAACTCCGACGGCGACAACAGTGGCCCCGTCGACGACAACAGTGGCTCCGTCGACGACAACGCCAGATCCTACAACAATAACGCCGGACCCTACGACAACACCACCTGCTCCTACAACGACAACTCCTGCTCCTACAATGACAACTCCTGCTCCTACAACGACAAACCCTGCTCCTACAACGACAACCCCTGCTCCTACAACGACAACCCCTGCTCCGACAACGACAACATCGGCTCCAACTACAACAGCCTCGACGCCAACTACAACACCTGCCCCAACCACAACAACCCCGGCGCCAACTACAACAATACTTGCCCTAGCCACAACAACACCGTCTCCCACTACAACAACTCCAGCTCCCACAACGACAACTCCTGCTCCTGCAACGACAACGTCTTCCCCAACCACAACAACACCAGCTCCAGCTCCCACTACGACAACCCCTGTTCCTACAACAGCAACACAGACTCCAGCTACGACCACTCCTGATCCTACTACGACAACCCCTGCTCCAACTACAACAACCCCGGCTCCAACTACGACAACCCCTGCTCCTACAACAACAACACCGGCTCAAACTACAACAACTGCCCCAACCACAACAACACCGACTCCCACTACAACAACTCCAGCTCCCACTACAACAACTCCAGCTCCGACTACAACAACACCTGCCCCAACTACAACAACACCAGCTCCTACAACCACAACACCTGCTCCAACTACGACAACACCGGCTCCGACTACCACAACACCGGCTCCGACTACGACCACACCTGCTCCGACTACGACCACACCTGCTCCAACTACGACAACACCGGCTCCGACTACGACAACACCGGCTCTGACTACCACAACACCGGCTCCGACTACGACCACTCCTGCTCCTACTACGACAACCCCTGCTCCAACTACGACAACCCCAGCTCAAACTACGACAACCCCTGCTCCTACAACCACAACCCCTGCTCCTACAACCACAACTCCTGCTCCAACTACAACAACTCCTGCTCCAACTACGACAACACCAGCTCCGACTACGACAACACCGGCTCCGACTACGACAACACCAGCTCCGACTACGACAACTCCTGCTCCTACAACGACAACACCGGTTCCAACTACAACAACTCCTGCTCCTACAACAACAACACCGGCTCCAACTACGACAACCCCTGCTCCAACGACGACAACCCCTGCTCCTACAACTACAACACCTGCCCCAACCACAAAAACCCCGGCTCCCACTACAACAACCCCGGCTCCGACTACGACAACCCCTACTCCAACTACAACAACCCCAGATCCGACTACAACCACTCCTGCTCCCACAACAACAACCCCTGCTCCAACAACGACAACCCCAGCTCCAACAACGACAACTCCTGCTCCAACTACCACAACCACTGCTCCTACAACGACAACCCCGGCTCCAACTACTACAACCCCTGCTCCAACTACGACAACCCCGGCGCCAACCACGACAACGCCTGCCCCAACCACGACAACTCCTGCTCCCACTACAACAACTCCAGCTCCGACAACAAAAACACCAGCTCCCACTACAACAACCCCGGCTCCAACTACTACAACCCCTGCTCCTACAACCACAACACCTGCTCCAACTACGACAACACCAGCTCCGACTACGACAACACCGGCTCCGACTACGACAACCCCTGCTCCTACTACGACAACCCCTGCTCCTACTACGACAACCCCTGCTCCAACTACGACAACCCCGGCTCAAACTACGACAACCCCTGCTCCTACGACCACAACCCCTGCTCCTACAACCACAACACCTGCTGCAACTACAACAACTCCTGCTCCAACTACGACAACACCGGCTCCGACTACGACAACACCGGCTCCGTCTACGACAACACCGGCTCCGACTACGACAACTCCTGCTCCTACAACAACAACACCGGCTCCAACTACGACAACCCCTGCTCCAACAACAACAACACCTGCGCCAACCACGACAACGCCTGCCCCAACCACGACAACTCCTGCTCCCACAACAACAACTCCAGCTCCGACAACAACAACACCGGCTCCCACTACAACAACCCCGGCTCCCACTACAACAACTCCAGCTCCCACTACAACAACCCCAGCTCCGACTACCACAACCCCTGCTCCCGACTACCACAACCCTCCTGCTCCTACAACTACAACACCTGCCCCAACCACAACAACACCAGCTCCCACAACCACAACACCTGCTCCAACTACAACAACCCCGGCTCCAACTACAACAACACCGGCTCCAACTACGACCACCCCTGCTCCTACTACGACCACACCTGCTACCAACCACAACAACACCGGCCCCAACCACGACAACACCGGCTCCCACTACAACAACACCGGCTCCGACAACAACAACTCCAGCTCCTACAACGACAACCCCTGCTCCCACTACGACAACCCCAGCTCAAACTACAACAACCCCTGCTCCTACAACCACAACCCCTGCTCCTACAACCACAACTCCTGCTCCAACTACAACAACCCCTGCTCCTACAACCACAACACCAGCTCCGACTACGACAACACCTGCTCCGACTACGACAACACCTGCACGACAACCCTGCACGACAACGACAACACCGGTTCCCACTACAACAACTCCTGCTCCTACAACAACAACACCGGCTCCCACTACAACAACCCCTGCTCCAACTACCACAACCCCTGCTCCTACAACTACACACCTGCCCCAACCACAAAAACCCCTGCTCCCCTACAACAACCCCGGCTCCCACAACAACAACCCCCCCCCCAAACAACAACACCTGATCTGACTACCATAACATCACCCCTGCTCCCACAACAACAACCCCTGCTCCAACAACGACAACCCCAGCTCCAACAACGACAACTCCTGCTCCAACTACCACAACCACTGCTCCCACTACAACAACCCCGGCTCCAACTACTACAACCCCTGCTCCAACTACGACAACCCCGGCACCAACCACGACAACACCTGCCCCAACCACGACAACACCGGCTCCCACTACAACAACTCCGGCTCCGACAACAAAAACACCAGCTCCCACTACAACAACCCCGGCTCCAACTACCACAACCCCTGCTCCTACAACCACAACACCTGCTCCAACTACGACAACACCGGCTCCGACTACGACAACACCGGCTCCGACTACGACAACCCCTGCTCCTACTACGACAACCCCTGCTCCAACTACGACAACCCCGGCTCAAACTACGACAACCCCTGCTCCTACGACCACAACCCCTGCTCCTACAACCACAACACCTGCTGCAACTACAACAACTCCTGCTCCAACTACGACAACCCCTGCTCCACCGACAACACCGGTCCCACACAACACCGCCCCACACAAAACCCAAAAAACAACTACGACAACTCCTACTCCTACAACAACAACACCGGCTCCAACTACGACAACCCCTCCTCCAACAACAACAACACCTGCGCCAACCACGACAACGCCTGCCCCAACCACGACAACTCCTGCTCCCACAACAACAACTCCAGCTCCGACAACAACAACACCGGCTCCCACTACAACAACCCCGGCTCCAACTACCACAACCACTGCTCCTACAACCACAACAACTCCTGCTCCAACTACGACAACACCGGCTCCGACTACGACCACTCCTGCTCCTACTACGACCACTCCTGCTCCGACAACGACAACCCCTGCTCCGACAACGACAACCCCAGCTCCAACAACGACAACCCCAGCTCCGACAACGACAACACCTGCTCCAACTACAGCAACATCAGCTCTGACTACGACAACCCCTGCTCCGACTACCACAACCCCTGCTCCTACAACGACAACAACTGCTCCGACTACGACAACACCAGCTCCGACTACGACAACTCCTGCTCCTACGACAACAGAGGCTCCGACTACGACCACTCCTGCTCCTACAACTACAACACCTGCCCCGACCACAACAACACCGGCTCCCACTACAAAAACCCCTGCTCCAACTACAACAACCCCGGCTCCAACTACAACAACCCCAGCTCCAACTACGACAACCCCTGCTCCTACTACGACAACCCTGGTGCCGACCACAACAACACCTGCCCCAACCACGACAACATCGGCTCCCACTACAACAACTCCAGCTCCGACAACAACAACTCCAGCTCCGACAACAACAACACTGGCTCCCACTACAACAACCCCGGCTCCAACTACAACAACCCCGGCTCCAACTACCACAACCCCTGCTCCTACAACCACAACCCCTGCTCCTACAACCACAACCCCTGCTCCTACAACCACAACACCTGCTCCGACTACGACAACTCCTGCTCCGACTACGACAACACCGGCTCCGACTACGACAACACAGGCTCCGACTACGACAACACAGGCTCCGACTACGACAACACAGGCTCCGACTACGACAACACAGGCTCCCACTACAACCACTCCTGTTCCCACTACGACCACTCCTGCTCCCACTACGACAACCCCTGCTCCAACAACGACAACCCCTGCTCCAACAACGACAACCCCAGCTCCAACTACGACAACACCAGCTCTGACTACGACAACTCCTGCTCCTACAACAACACAGGCTCTGACTACGACCACTCCTGCTCCTACAACGACAACCCCTGCTCCAACAACGACAACCCCAGCTCCAACAACGACAACCCCAGCTCCAACAACGACAACACCTGCTCTGACTACCACAACACCTGCTCCAACTACAACAACATCAGCTCCGACTACGACAACCCCTGCTCCGACAACGACAACTCCTGCTCCAACTACCACAACCCCTGCTCCTACAACTACAACACCTGCCCCGACCACAACAACACCGGTTCCCACTACAACAACCCCTGCTCCAACTACAACAACCCCGGCTCCAACTACGACAACCCCTGCTCCTACTACAACAACCCCGGCGCCGACCACAACAACACCTGCCCCAACCACGACAACACCGGCTCCCACTACAACAACTGCAGCTCCGACAACAACAACACCGGCTCCCACTACAACAACCCCGGCTCCAACTACCACAACCCCGGCTCCAACTACCACAACCCCTGCTCCTACAACCATAACCCATGCTCCTACAACGACAACACCTGCTCTGACTACCATAACATCAGCTCCGACTACAACAACCCCTGCTCCGACAACGACAACTTCTGCTCCAACTACCACAACCCCTGCTCCTACAACACCTGCTCCCACTACAACAACCGCGACTCCAACTACGACAACCCCTGCTCCTACTACGACAATCCCGGCACCAACCACGACAACACCTGCCCCAACCACAACAACACCGGCTCCCACTACAACAACTCCGGCTCCGACAACAACAACTCCGGCACCGACAACAACAACACCGGCTCCCACTACAACAACCCCGGCTACAACTACCACAACCCCTGCTCCTACAACCACAACAACTCCTGCTCCAACTACGACAACACCGGCTCCGACTACGACAACACCGGCTCCGACTACGACAACCCCTGCTCCTACTACGACAACCCCTGCTCCTACTACGACCACTCCTGCTCCTACTACGACAACCCCTGCTCCAACTACGACAACCCCTGCTCCAACTACGACAACCCCTGCTCCAACTACGACAACCCCTACAACCACAACACCTGCTCCAACTACCACAACCCCTGCTCCTACAACGACAACAACTGCTCCAACTACGACAACACCAGCTCCGACTACGACAACTCCTGCTCCTACGACAACACAGGCTCCGACTACGACCACTCCTGCTCCTACATCTACAACACCTGCCCCGACCACAACAACACCGGCTCCCACTACAACAACCCCTGCTCCAACTACAACAACCCCGGCTCCAACAACCACAACCCCTGCTCCTACTACAACAACCTCCTGCGCCGACCACAACAACACCTGCCCCAACCACGACAACACCGGCTCCCACTACAACAACTGCAGCTCCGACGACAACAACACCGGCTCCCACTACAACAACCCCGGCTCCAACAACCACAACCCCTGCTCCTACAACCATAACCCATGCTCCTACAACGACAACACCTGCCTGGCTACCATAACACAGCCACGACAACACCTGCCCGCACACGACAACTTCGGCTCCAACTACCACAACCCCGGCTCCTACAACACCTGCTCCCACTACAACAACGGCAACTCGACACCCCTCGACAACCCGGCCCACCGACAACACCGCCCCAACCACGACAACACCGGCTCCCACAACAACAACTCCGGCTCCGACAACAACAACACCGGCTCCCACTACAACAACCCCGGCTACAACTACCACAACCCCTGCTCCTACGACCACAACACCTGCTCCGACTACAACAACACCGGCTCCGACTACAACAACACCGGCTCCGACTACGACCACTCCTGCTCCTACAACGACCACTCCTGCTCCAACAACGACAACACCTGCCCCAACTACCACAACCCCGGCACCAACTACAACAACCCCTGCTCCAACTACCACAACCCCTGCTCCACCTACCACAACACCTGCTCCAACGACTACAACACCTGCTCCTACAACGACAACACCGGCCCCAACTACCACAACCCCGGCACCAACTACAACAACCCCTGCTCCAACTACCACAACCCCTGCTCCACCTACCACAACCCCTGCTCCAACTACCACAACCCCTGTTCCTACAACCACAACCCCTGCTCCAACTACAACAACACATGCTCCAACTACAACAACACCTGCTCCAACTACAACAACACCAGCTCCAACTACAACAACAAAGCCTCCGACTACGACCACTCCTGCTCCGACTACGACCACTCCTGCTCCGACTACAACAACTCCTGCTCCGACTACGACCACTCCTGCTCCGACTACAACAACTCCTGCTCCGACTACAACAACACCGGCTCCGACTACGACCACTCCTGCTCCTACAACGACCACTCCTGCTCCAACAACGACAACCCCAGCTCCAACAACAACAACACCTGCTCCAACTACAACAACACCTGCTCCAACTACAACAACACCCGCTCCAACTACAACAACACCAGCTCCAACTACAACAACAAAGCCTCCGACTACGACCACTCCTGCTCCGACTACGACCACTCCTGCTCCGACTACGACCACTCCTGCTCCGACTACGACCACTCCTGCTCCTACAACGACCACTCCTGCTCCAACAACGACAACCCCTGCTCCAACAACGACAACACCTGCTCCGACGACTACAACACCTGCTCCTACAACGACAACACCGGCTCCAACTACCACAACCCCGGCACCAACTACAACAACCCCTGCTCCAACTACCACAACCCCTGCTCCGACAACGACAACTCCTGCGCCAACTACCACAACCCCTGCTCATACAACTACAACACCTGCCCCGACCACAACAACACCGGTTCCCACTACAACAACCCCTGCTCCAACTACAACAACCCCGGCTCCAACTACGACAACCCCTGCTCCTACTACAACAACCCCGGCGCCGACCACAACAACACCTGCCCCAACCACGACAACACCGGCTCCCACTACAACAACTGCAGCTCCGACAACAACAACACCGGCTCCCACTACAACAACCCCGGCTCCAACTACCACAACCCCGGCTCCAACTACCACAACCCCTGCTCCTACAACCATAAACCATGCTCCTACAACGACAACACCTGCTCTGACTACCATAACATCAGCTCCGACTACAACAACCCCTGTTCCGACAACGACAACTTCTGCTCCAACTACCACAACCCCTGCTCCTACAACACCTGCTCCCACTACAACAACCCCGGCTCCAACTACGACAACCCCTGCTCCTACTACGACAACCCCGGCACCAACCACGACAACACCGGCTCCCACTACAACAACTCCGGCTCCGACAACAACAACTCCGGCTCCGACAACAACAACACCGGCTCCCACTACAACAACCCCGGCTACAACAACCACAACCCCTGCTCCTACAACCACAACACCTGCTCCAACTACAACAACTCCTGCTCCGACTACAACAAGACCGGCTCCGACTACGACCACTCCTGCTCCTACAACGACCACTCCTGCTCCAACAACGACAACCCCTGCTCCAACAACGACAACTCCTGCTCCTACAACAACACAGGCTCTGACTATGACCACTCCTGCTCCTACAACGACAACCCCTGCTCCAACAACGACAACCCCAGCTCCAACAACGACAACCCCAGCTCCAACAACGACAACACCTGCTCTGACTACCACAACACCTGCTCCAACTACAACAACATCAGCTCCGACTACGACAACCCCTGCTCCGACAACGACAACTCCTGCTCCAACTACCACAACCCCTGCTCCTACAACGACAACAACTGCTCCAACTACGACAACACCAGCTCCGACTACGACAACTCCTGCTCCTACGACAACACAGGCTCCGACTACGACCACTCCTGCTCCTACATCTACAACACCTGCCCCGACCACAACAACACCGGCTCCCACTACAACAACCCCTGCTCCTACTACGACAACCCCGGCACCAACCACGACAACACCGGCTCCCACTACAACAACTGCAGCTCCGACAACAACAACACCGGCTCCCACTACAACAACCCCGGCTCCAACTACCACAACCCCTGCTCCTACTACGACAACCCCGGCACCAACCACGACAACACCTGCCCCAACCACGACAACACCGGCTCCCACTACAACAACTCCGGCTCCGACAACAACAACTCCGGCTCCGACAACAACAACACCGGCTCCCACTAAAACAACCCCGGCTACAACTACCACAACCCCTGCTCCTACGACCACAACACCTGCTCCGACTACAACAACACCGGCTCCGACTACAACAACACCGGCTCCGACTACGACCACTCCTGCTCCTACAATGACCACTCCTGCTCCAACGACGACAACCCCTGCTCCAACGACTACAACACCTGCTCCAACGACTACAACACCTGCTCCTACAACGACAACACCGGCTCCAACTACCACAACCCCGGCACCAACTACAACAACCCCTGCTCCAACTACCACAACCCCTGCTCCAACTACCACAACCCCTGCTACAACCACAACCCCTGCTCCAACTACAACAACACATGCTCCAACTACAACACCTGCTCCAACTACAACAACACAGCCTCCGACTACGACCACTCCTGCTCCGACTACGACCACTCCTGCTCCGACTACAACAACTCCTGCTCCGACTACAACAACACCGGCTCCGACTACGACCACTCCTGCTCCTACAACGACCACTCCTGCTCCAACAACGACCACTCCTGCTCCAACGACAACCCCTGCTCCAACAATGACAACACCTGCTCCAACGACTACAACACCTGCTCCTACAACGACAACACCGGCTCCAACTACCACAACCCCGGCACCAACTACAACAACCCCTGCTCCAACTACCACAACCCCTGCTCCAACTACCACAACCCCTGCTCAAACTACCACAACCCCTGCTCCAACTACAACAACCCCTGCTCCAACTACCACAACCCCTGCTCCAACTACCACAACCCCTGCTCCAACTACCAGAACCCCTGCTCCAACTACCACAACCCCTGCTCCAACTACAACAACACATGCTCCAACTACAACAACACCTGCTCCAACTACAACAACACCAGCTCCAGCTATAACAACAAAGCCTCCAACTACGACCACTCCTGCTCCGACTACGACAACTCCTGCTCCAACAACGACAACACCGGTTCCAACTACGACAACTCCTGGTCAAACAACGACAACACCTGCTCCTACAACGACAACACCTGCTCCAACAATGACGACACCTGCTCCTACAACTACAACACCTGTCCCAACAACAACAACACCGTCTCCCACTACAAAAACCCCGGCTCCAACTACAACAACCCCGGCTCCAACTACGACAACTCCTGCTCCAACAACGACAACACCTGCTCCTACAACGACAACACCTGCTCCAACAATGATGACACCTGCTCCTACAACTACAACACCTGCCCCAACCACAACAACACCATCTCCCACTACAACAACCCCGGCTCCAACTACGACAACTCCTGCTCCAACTACAACAACACCAGCTTATACTACGACAACTCCTGCTCCAACAATGACGACACCTTCTCCTACAACTACAACACTTGCCCCAACCACAACAACACTGGCTCCCACTACAACAACCCCTGCTCCAACTACGACAACACCGGCTCCCACTACAACAACACCGGCTCCCACTACAACAACCCCAGCTCCAACTACCACAACCCCTGCTCCTACAACCACAACCCCAGCTCCAACAACAACAACACCTGCTCCGACTACCACAACACCTGCTCCGACTACAACAACACCAGCTCCAACTACCACAACAGCTGCTCCTACAATGACAACACCGGCTCCAACTACCACAACCCTGGCGCCAACTACAACAACACCTGCCCCAACCACGACAACACCGGCTCCCACTACGACAACCCCGGCTCCAACTACGACAACCCCAGCTCCCACTACAACAACTCCGGCTCCGACAACAACAACACCGGCTCCCACTACAACAACCCCAGCTCCAACTACCACAACCCCTGCTCCTACAACCACAACACCTGCTACTACAACGACAACTCCTGCTCCGACTACAACAACTCCTGCTCCGACTACGACAACACCTGCCCCTACAACGACGACAACTGCTCCAACAATGACAACACCTGCTACTACAACGACAACACCTGCTACTACAACGACAACACCGGCGCCAACTACAACACCTGCCCCAACCACAACAACACCGGCTCCCACTACAACAACTTCAGCAACGACAACAACAACACCCACTACGACAACCCCGGCTCCAACTACGACAACCCCTGCTCCTACAACGACAACACCTGCCCCTACAACGACAACACCTTCTCCAACTACGACAACATCTGCTCCAACTACAACAACTCCTGCTCCAACAACGACAACACCGGCTCCAACTACAACAACCCCAGCTCCTACAACAACAACACCGGCTCCAACTACAACAACCCCAGCTCCTACAACAACACCGGCTCCCAGTACAACAACCCCAGCTCCTACAACAACAACCCCTGCTCCTATAACAACAACACCTGCTCCAACTACGACAACACCAGCTCCCACTACGACAACTCCTGCTCCTACAACTACAACACAGGCTCCGCCTTCGACAACTGCTGCTCCTACTACAACAACACCAGCTCCGACTATGACAACTCCTGCTCCAACTACGACAACACCGGCTCCGACTACGACTCCTGCTCCTACAACTACAACTCCTGCTCCTACAACGACCACACCGGCTCCCGCTACAACAACCCTGGCGCCAATTAAGACAACCCCTGCTCCTACAATGACAACACCTGCACCTACAACACCAGCTCCTACTACGACAACTCCTGCTCCAACAACGACAACACCTGCTCCAACCACAACAACCCCGGCGCCAACTATAATAACACTTGCCCCAACCATAACACCTGCTCCCACTATAACAACAGCAGCAACGACAACAGCTGCTCCCACTATAACAACGGCAGCAACGACAACACCTGCTCCCACTATAACAACAGCAGCAACAACACCTTCTCTGACAACAACCTCTTCAGCAATAACAACCACTTTGACCCCTGAACCTGTTTATAGCATCTCAGCAGGCCTGCCAGAGGAAGAATATTCAGATGACCTCACTAATCGTAGCAGTAGTCGATTCAAAGATCTTGAAGCACAAGTTTTAGCAACGGTAAGAACATTTTCAAATTGACTACAGTTTTTAATTGATTGTGTCAGTGTCGGGAATTAATGCTTTTTTTTGTAGGAAAAATCTGAAAATTGTACTTACATTTAATTTCAAGTTAATTGTACTTGAAAGCTACTCAAAGTCTCAAATGTTTCTATTTTTTGCAGTGCACTCCCATATACAAAAAACGATTTCCTATTCGTTTTGTCCGCTGCATTGTAAAAGCGTTCAGGTAAAAACTGTTTTTCTATAATTTTAACTTTTTTTTTCAAGCAGGATTATGTTATTATGTTCTTAAAATTGGTATGGTCTAGTGTCTATTGTGTCATGTTTAACACAATTTTATACTGAAACAGGGCTGCTACAACCCAAATACGAGCACAAGGAACTGAAGCAGAGTTGGGGGTTGTGTTCAATCGGACTACTCCTCTTGCAGAACTCCCACAGAATAATGTTATTGCTGAAACCTTAGTACAAGGTGTGAATTCCAGCAATAGCTTCAATGTGACCATAAGTGCCTCCTCTGTCAAAGTAGAACGTAAGTTAACACAACATATTTCACTGTAATCACAATGTAAACATCACAAATGAAGTGCTGCATATGCTCTGTTGTGAAACAAAAGTATCTTGCAATTAGGTACAAGAAATGTAAGTCCAGCCAAGTTTCTTCAGAATCCATCCAACAGTTGGGCAGGATGACCCATTTATAACTACCTTGTATTCAGCCAGAATGATTTTTATGTAAATAATTTGTTAGAAACTGAAAGAGACATCAACTAATAATTCATAACTACATAAGATACTACAGAACTGAACAATCAGCTCTTTCTAAACCTTTTATGATGGCACTAAGTCAGTTCGAAATCAAAAAACAACAAAGACATCATTTTGGTTTGGCATGAATATTTAATTTAAAAACCTGTTTCACAGAGGGTCCAGTTCCAAGTACTGCTGCAACTACAACTGTTGCACCCATGACTGCCAGGCCTACGACTGCTGCACCTGCAACTGTTGCACCCATGACTGCCAGGCCTACGACTGCTGCACCTGCAACTGTCGCACCTACGACTGTCGCACCTACGACTGCCAGGCCTACGACTGCCGCACCTACGACTGCTGCACCTGCAACTGTCACATCCACGACTGTTGCACCTACAACTGTCGCACCTACAACTGCCAGGCCTGCAACTGCTGCACCTGCAACTGTAGCAGTCACAAAAATCAGGACAACTTTCAGATCTCTTCAAGACACATTTACAAATGACTTGAATGATCCATCATCTGCATCTTTTATAACTCGATCTTCAATGATAAAGGCACAGGTAAGCCTTGAAATTAAATCTGCTGGTACACATAATGACTCATTTTATCAGAGAACTCAAGCACCTACACAAAAAACTGCAATGTTAAGGTAACACTTAATGCAGCCTGTTGTTCAGTATGTAAAAATAAGGCACCACAAATAACAACAATGGTAATACATTTTATTTAGTGGCGCTTTCATGACACTCAAAGTCACCTTACATCATATCAAATATCAATACAATAAAAAAAAACAATGTAATAAATAAAAATAAAAATTAGATACTTACTAATTGCTACTGCTACTTGAATGTAGGTATGGAGGAAGAAAACAAGACATTGGGCAATAAGGGAGTAAGAACTAGGAAATTCAGAGGAAAGGAGAAATAAATTATACTTTATTTTTATAAATACTTGGTACCTGTGGGCATAAGTAAGCAGTATTTATAAAAATACTTATTGTATAATTTATTTCTCTCACAGACAGCCAGATTGTTACTCCCTTATTCCGGATAGTCTTGTTTTTAATTTCAAACAACAAAATGACACTGTGAATCATGGGCTGTATTATAGTGTTACCAATTTCATCATTAAAACCAAGCATTAAAGCATACCAAACTTACATATTTATATACCATAAAACTATGTAGTATGAAGAAACACAGCTTGCAAAAGGTTTGGTGTGATGGATACCAGTTGAAAAAATGTGCACACACTGACCAGAAATACACATAAAGAAACATCATATTACTGTAAAAACAGTTCCTTTTGAATCCTGTATTGTTTGTTGCTCGTCATTTTTTTCTTGTATGTATGACTCCTGGCCTCAATTTGCTTTCTGCACTACAGAAAACACAAAAACAAAACAAAAATAGAAACAGGAAAATTAGACAATACTCATCTTCACGCTTGCTAGACAGCATACATAAAAGTTCCCTTATTCAAATTTCCCCAAAAAATGGATTACAAAGACATAACTGAGACTTTATCAAGACAACTTATCTCATATACACACAGTTCAGTGCTCTAGGGCAAAAATAGAAATAAATTGTGTTGTAATACAATTTTTTTTCTGTTTCTGCAGCTTCAACCTATCTTCCAAGAGGCATTCCCATCCTCCTTCAGGTCCTTGGATGTAGTTTCATTCAGGTAATTTGTTAAGACTTATTGTGATACAATTGAATAGTAGTGGCCTAAATCTGATATTTCAACTAATATTTATGTGTTTTCGTTGCAGAAATGGATCAATCATAACTGACATGGACCTTAACTTTGCAAGGACATCTGTTCCTACCAACACTCAGATTGGTAATGTTTTGATCAATGCATCTTCAATCGTCAGCGGCTTCGACATTGAAGGCAGCTCCATCATCGTGAATGGCACAGGTAAGCTATAATGAGTGCTCCTTGATCAAAAAGTTTAAAAGTTGCACAACTGTTTGTTAAACTAATATTTTTTTTTCCCTTTTCTCTTCATTTACAGCTTCAAGTGGTGTAAGCCACAAGATCAGTCTTGCGACCGCATTCTGCCTTGTACTTTTGTCATGGCTACTGACAAGCCAGCAATAGCATCAGGGCTGATTTCCTTTGGATTGCCATGAGAACATGACTGCCATCACTAGCATGAAAAAGGACTTTCATCAGGACGTTGTTGGTAAAAATCCAAGAATCCTGATTCTCTTTAGTGGTGTACGGTTTCGGATGAACTCATTACAAATGTAACTTTAAACTAAACTGATATCAATGACAGGGTATTCTGTATGTCTGTTGAACTGAACACATTTTTGTGTGGGAACGTCCAGGATCCTGGGCCAGACAGAATGACACAGTCAACTCTACACACCCGGTCCACTGAACCATCACTAGAATAATAAGCCAAACAATATAAGAACACTATCTATTAAGCCAAGGGAAGTTATAAAATTATTGCACTATTGCACTATTAATATACCAATTCATCTTGCTTAACTGAGCAGTGTGCTATCGCTATATTGAACTTAGAGTAAATTACTAATAGTTTTGTTTGTCAAATAAGTAAAATCAGCCACACTGGAAAGTAAAAGCATAAAATTAACCACTGTCTGAATGCAATTGTATTTTGAAACATGCAGATTGAGATATGTGAATGCTAGATTTTAAATAGGACTGTTTGTGAAGTTAGTCTTTGTCTTAAGAAAGAAGGAAATGTATTTGTGATTTGAAAAAGCAAACATTCATCAAAATCCCTTTTTATTTTAAAACTTATAATGATGATGATCTGATCTTTCTATAGTCTTAAAATGTATGTAAAATTCATGTTTAAGTTTCACTTGATAGCATAGCATAGTAGCATCATCACAGCTCCGCAGAGAGCATATTGTAAAGGGAAAACATGCTTTAAGTTAAATGAAGGAACAAATGCAGTTCATAGTGGGCTGGACACCCCAACCCTTAACCAATGCATATATTTATTAAGGGTCATGGTATACATGATATAAACTTTATTTTAAAACAAGTCACTGTCAATTATATTATTTATGCAAAGTGTATTTATCTTTTATCATGCATAGTTGCATTCTGTGAGATTTCTTGTAGTTTGAACAATTTCTGTAAGAAACTTAACAATGATCAGAATACAAAATCTTTGAAGAATTTAAATTGTCTCTCGTGTTATGTTATGCAATTATGGCAGGTAAAGACAAATTTTCAGGGCATGTTTAATGTCAGGAGCTTAAATAAAAGCAATGGTGGTGTTTAGAAGGTAACTGAACCCTTTCGATGACTTCACACAATTAAGTTTTACAATAGTATCTTACAATCAGTCAGTCTCAGCCTTTGTTGAGTCAGTGAATCAGGTTTGTTTCGAAAGAGAACTGCGAGTGGCGCATAGTTTGCTTTGACTATGAGATTCTTATTTATTCAAATATTGCCAGACAGTCTGAGAGATGCACTGTTCTTTAATCATCAACAGCACAGTCTTAAAGCAACATGAGTGCTATAGCATGAAATAGCGGCCATTAATTAATCCAATTAACTGACTCAATAATGTCTGTTATACAGCAATAGCTATCTAAAGTTTGCTAACGTTACCCAACATTATCTGACATTATGTCCGTGGTAATTCTGGGAATTTGGGGAGTTTTAGCAATCTGAGGTAGTTCTGAGGTTAAAAATCACACAAGGAGGAAATTGAATTGGCTGATCGCAGGATTGTTTATATTATATTTATTTTATCCGACGTAAGTCAACTAAATAATTGCTTATTTCCCCACCAGAATTTTATTGCGAATAAGGGTTTGAAACAGCATCTAGACCTTTGTGTTGGAAAATGCTATTCATATAAAATGTAGTTCATTATTTGAATACATACACAAATATGAACAATCCACAAAAGGTGGATGGGATGTATTGGGAGATCTTGGATCCTGCTATCCTTGCTGCCTCAGTGTATTGAATTGAAGTGGGCTTTTTGTTTTGTTGTTTATAAATCCAGCTTAAATTAAACTTAACTTGCAGCTTCCTGCAGTCCAGGCAATGCCATGAAAACAATTACCCTGCTGGTTGTCCCCTTGTCTCTAAATTCAATGTGGGTTACATGTTGTTTGACCAAGGTCTAGAATGAATAATGAAATAATAGCATATTCATTTTAAGGGCCTTTAATTGCTATAAATAGCACAAAATGATGGGGGGGGGAGAACAAGTATAAAGGGGCAAAAATCCGTAATAAATAGTTGAAAGGGTCTGGGAACATGTGATGGAGATTTTCTAACTTTCATTTTACATACCAAACAATGAAGCGGTAATAAAATAAAATAAATAAAATAGTTGTAGATTTAAACTTTAGAATAACAGACCTTTACAACAACTTAACTTTAATCATCTGTGTCAAGGTTTTATTTTGCTATTTGCTCCCAAAACTGCCTTGTGTGTGTGTGTGTGTGTGTGTGTGTGTGTGTGTGTGTGTGTGTGTGTGTGTGTGTGTGACTGCTCTCTGAGTTACGTCGATGGAATAACGCGACCAAGGCTTTGGAAAGGTTATTTTTGTATCTTATGATCAGCGGAACCGGAAGAGGAATACGCATGGATTAGTGTTTACAACTCTCATCATCCTGGGTGCACCCGGCATCCCCCCGCTGTCCAAAACAGACCCATGCAATTTGCATGTGCAGGCTGGTGCTGGGTTTGGGACATAACGTATCTCTTTTTTTAACACAGGGTTGTTTTACTTTCTTAGTGGGTGACTAGGGGTTGTTATTGCGGACTAGCTGTGCGATAACTGCCGCAGCGTCGGGCCACCCACCATCTGTGGAAGTGGGACAAGGGAACAGATGGCGCATCCAAGCCGGCCTGCAGGGCTGCCGACGCTGACGGTTAGGACAGCACTGGAGATGAGTATCAATCATTAAAAATACAAGGCTGTCGTTGGCTGTTGCAGAGTGTGTTTTTGCAGACTTGGCGATGCCAGAGTGACTTGGGAGAACAGCGTTTTTGTTTTTTTTTGACGGGAAGCAACGCAAGATTGATCAAATTGATGCGCGACGACTCTACCACTGGTATAAACTTAATCCCCTATTTTGACGTGTCTCCGCCTCGGTGAACAATGGTTGACAACCGCTACGCTACGGCTCTGGTCATCGCCTGTGTGCTGAGCATACTGGCCACCGTGTACCTGTCTGTGGCCATCGGGACACAGCACTGGTACCAGTACAGCAGCCCCACCGTGCGCGGGGAGGCCAACGTGTCCGAGTTGCGCTCTCTGTATGAGGAGTTCATGGACGGGGAGTTTGACGAGAAAACCTACAGCGACACCCTGTTCCGCCTCAACGGGACCGTGGGCCTCTGGTGGCGGTGTGTGCTCGTCCCTGCCAACACTCACTGGTACAAAGAGCCAGGTATGAGTAAACAACCTGCACAATGACACTGTAATGTCACTTCTTCAGACCGTACCATCCGTTTCAGTCACACAGGTTCCAAACAATAGAGCTGCTCTTCAAGTTTGAGCCCCACCTCGTTTCAGGTAGATGCCACCAGGTGTGGTCCATTTCCCCAACATCTTGATGTATTTATTTTTGGATTATGGATGGCATTTCCCCCATTCTTTGTCCATCTCGTGTGTTAACCTAACATCCAGTCAGGAAGCCTTTACCTGGCTATCTTTGAAAAACTCAGACACTTACCTTTGTTCTGGAGGGACTGGATTCATTAGACATGACATTTCAAGGGTTTGCCCAAATAGTTTTAGTGGAGGTGGTAAACGGGTAAAGTGGGCAACTACTGGCTACATGTATGTATCCGTACTGAGTGGGCGTGGCATTAGGAGGACGTGGGCGTGGTCAATATACAGTTCTTAATTTAAGCCTGAAATTGATATGGGTTGATCAGAAGTTGCTATGTTAATTAGACAGCTATTTACAGAATTTAGCTGCCGGGCAATGTTTTTGTTCACAAGACAAAGAGAACTATTTACGAACAAGCTTTTTTTAAGTAAAAGTTGCTATATTTATGATATTGACACATTTTAATCGTTTGAAACTCGTTAAAAGTAAATTATCTGTACCGGATACCTGTTTCAGCTGAGTACTCGCTCTACCCTAGCAACTACCTATGGGCCCCAAAAGCCTCAGGTTTACTCCGTATCATATCTGTCTACATAATTTGATTACTCGCAAATCTGTTGGAAGTTTTAACCACATAAGTACAGTATCCCCTGTGACGGGTCCTCCACCCCCCATCTTGTGCCTCTGGTCTCGAAGAGGGAACCTGTGTCAAAATCTAGTTTTAAGAACTTGTTGTTTTAGTTTATATTGTGCCCATGTGTTTTAAAGTTGTGTTTTGTCAAATTTCTGTGTAAGACTTCAACCAACAGTTACCTTCATTATCATTAGGTCTGACCATTAGTTTTTATCATATTTGATTGACTTTTCAGTGTGTAAAATGTCATTATTGTCGTCATTATGTCCTGAGGCCCAAGTTAACCAAGTTATCAAATTGCTTTTTGTGTTTAAAAGCCAAAAGTTTACTATCGTAGAAAACTAGCAGAAGCTCACATTTGAGAAGCTGGCATTTTTGATTTAAATTATGAATCAAAACAATTGTTGCCAATTAATTTTCTCTCAATCAGCAATCTATCAATCGACTAATTTCAGCTCTTGAGTACTGTCATTTATAGTGGGGTAAGAAGGGGCAGGACAACAATTTTTTGGCCCTGGGATGGTTTTTAAAATTCACTGTTGGCAGCATAAATTACATAAAAATCTATCTCTGTGAATCAACCCATATTATTCATTAAAAAAACGTACTTTCCTAAGCAGCAACATTTTTAATAAGTAATTCATCTTGACTTAATGGAGCAGGCAACTAACTGATAAGATAATGTGATTTTGCTGTAGTGATTTGTAGCCTTTGAGCGGTCAGCGCAAATAACAAAAACAAATCAAAAAACTAAAATTAGTATTTATATCAGCCAAAAAAAAACTGTTATCATCAGATAATGGCAAAAATGTGAGTTTGCAGTTTCTTCTTAGACACATTAAATAGGCTATTCATGAAATCATTTACATTTTCAGTAAAGAAACATTTTTGAAAAATACATGCTTACATATCTGCTGCAGTACGTCCACAGAACGTAGAAAATTTACACAAGAAACTAAAAATGTTTGAAAAACGTATTAATGCAAATGTGACTTGAATTAAATTGTCTTTAATATCGTAAATAACCTCTTTCAGATGCCAAGATGGTGCTGGAGTGTCGAAGCTTCACTCTACCTCAGCAGTTCACTCCCAAGTATAAAGAGCCAGGAAACCACAACAGTGGAGAGGACATGCTTCGCACCTGTAAGTTCAGTCACAGCAATTTTAGCTTTGTTTAAAAGTTGCATGAAGCTGTAAGAAAAGTTGCATCCTCTTCTCTGTGTACGTTTCTAATAGTCATTAACTATGACCAATATGTGACATTGCCCCCAATTAGGACTGCTTCCTCTGTCGTGCTTAAGAAGGTGAGTAAATGAAGACCTCAGTAACCATAATGCCCAGAGACTCATACTTTTCTGTGTCTGTGTGTATGTATAGACTTGTGGAGGTTCCAGTTTCTTCTGCCACTGGTATCCCTGGGTTTAGTAGTGTTAGCAGGCCTGACTGGGTTCTGTGCCTGCCTCTGCCGAAGCCTCACCCCCACCCTTGGCATAGGAGTACTTCATCTGCTGGCTGGTAAGCCCTGTTCCGCTGCACAGAAACACTTCCTGGCAAATTCCCCCGTATGAGACAATAAAGTGGTTTATTAAGCAGTCAAGTGACTGGTGTGTAGGATTTAGTGTCATCTCTAAGTCCCTCACTTCACCCTCCGCTTCCAAGTGCCAAAGAGAAACTACGGTGGCTGTGAAAAACATGAACGAACATACAGTAAATCAAAACTGTGGGAAGAAGGCCATACTAGCTGCACTGTGAGGCTGTGCTTTAGGCTAAATGTCAAAATGCGGACATGCTTTCAATGACAACACTATTTATATTAAGCAAGTATAAAGTCTATACCATGTTCAACATGGGATCACCAAAGTCATTAAGATTCATCATGTGGAAACCATGAATGTCTGTACCAAATTTTTGTTCAAATCCGTCCTGTAGATTTTGAGATATTTTACAAGATAAGTTAAAACTTTTACCCTGCTTGTGGCCAAAAGTGGTGTACTGACTGATTATGCAATCCCTTAAGCCATGCAGCCAGTGTGGCTAAAATAACTCACTGGGCTACACCTATTGTCAAATGAATAAACTACTAGACGGTCTAGGTGTTGTTTGCACCTATACTGTTTGTCTGTATGCTATAGGGCGTGTTTTGTAACTTTGTCATTCTACTGTGCCAACATTATATTAGCAGACATGATCACTCCTTACATTTGATCTTACTATTCATAGTGCACCCGTGGCAGAGGTGTGAGGTAATTAGAGGTCATTGCAAGTTTATTTTTTTTGGCTTAAGTCTTGATAAATCAACTGCTTTACAGAGTGTTTTGGTGTCTTTCAGCTCATTGTTGTGGTTTTACAGCCAGAAACTATCTGGTTTGGGGTCACGTTCACTGCTTCCATTAACAGCAGGCAGACAATGTTAGCAACTAGCTGCTGAACACAGTGGAGCTAAAAGGAGACTCCAAATGGATGCTAATGGTGTTTGGCGGGTGTTGGATGTGTGAAGAAGCAATTGTTTGTTAACATAGTCACTTTATAAGGTGATAATATGTGCGTTTACAGCTTGTTGCCCTGCCCCTGTGGCCAAAAAAGTATGACAAGTCAAAATGTCTGTTTGCAGTGGCACTGCATGAGTATGTATGTGTTTCAAAAAATGTATGCATGAAACAGAAATGTGCTCTTCAACAGCCATCGAAAGACATCTCCTTACGCCCCCTCATTCTGTGCCCTGCAGGTCTCTGCACCTTAGCCACAGTGTGCTGCTACCTGGCCGGGATGGACCTGCTTCACAGGGTGTCAATGCTGCCTGATAAGGTGGATGGCTCCCTGGGCTGGTCCCTCTACTTGGCGCTCATTTCCTCACCGCTCCACATGATGGCTGCCGCACTGCTGGTGTGGGCGGCACGCAGCCACAGTCAGAACTACTACCGCATGACAGCCTACCGGGTGGCATAGACTGAGATTCAGCCCTGGATCTCTGCCCTGTTTAAATTCGTACCCCCAATCTGACACCAAGATGCATTTTATAATGATCTCAGAGGAATGGGATGTGGGTTAATCTGTGCCCTCTGATGGATTAAAGTGCATGTACTCTATAGAAATGACTATCTGCTGCATTAAAAGATTTGATCTTTATCTCTCTAGGGGTTTTTGGAAAAGATAAACGATGCATATAGTACAACATATGTTTGGTTCAGAGTAACATAACACCAAGCTGAAAAGCATTAGCTGTGTCCCAGTTTCATATTACACATGAATATGTGCATTTAATCTGGAAAAGTGGGTCAATTAAAGGATGATTGCGGCACTCACCAAGTTTATTGCTGATATGTAAGAATGCAGCAGCTTGTTTGAGAAAGCAAGAAACAAGAGTCAACAGGTCAAGTCATGTGAAATCAACATGTTCAGACAAGTTTTAGTCCACACTTTAGCCAAACTTATTTGAAATAACAGGCTGACGTTTACCAATTTTACTTTCTTGCCCTGTGGGATTTGATTATAGAAATGTTGCTTTGTTCCTAATGTTCCCAATGTTCCCAATGTTATCATAATAGCGGAAGCACAACACGCACATCACATTTTAAAACATTTTTATCTGATCAAGATCTGACTGGACTCAATCAAAAAGTAAAAAATTGGAAAGCAAAAACATGAAAATAATAGTTCAAATGGTAGTTTCACTATAAGCTTTGTTGTATGTCACTGGGACACACGTTTAGGTTGATAAACAACTCTGGATGACAATTTCAAATCTATTGCATTTGTGGTCACATCCAGCAGCACATTTGGGTGTGGTGACATTTGCCCTAGGTGCACGAACACCTGGCAGTAGTGTACAGGTATACTGGACACACCCTAGGTATGTTTCTAAGCACTGCAGCAACAAAAACCTTGTACAAAACAATATTTATTTTGAGGATGGCTATTGTATAATAAGTCTTTTACTTCTGCTGCTCAAACAGTCTGGGAATGCGGGCGTCAATGAAGAGTACAGTGAGCAAAACACTGACGACTATTGCGTATCTGTTTCTGTTTTGTTTAAATTCTGCCCAACCCTTTTTTTTAAAACATCAAGTGACATTTATTTATCCACGGCCATTGTTAAGGTCAGACTGTGTTTGTTAATAATTTGTTTACCCAATGCATTGTTTTCTTTGCTCTTTTCAAGTATATTTTTAACATTTTGACTGATTTTGTAGGCTTTTGTAGAAAACATTTTTCAACATAGTAGTTTTTTCACCATTTTGTGTTTTGTTTGCCCATATAAATTGGTTCCCACATCCTTTTGTGAATTCAGCTGTGTTTGTTATTAATAATTTATATTTGTTTATTTATTTTCTATTAATTTATTATCACCATTTCAATTCAACAGGATTTACGGGAAAGAGTTTCCCTGTTAGGCATTATGAATGTAATTTAAAGGCCATATTGTGATGAACTACAGTGTTCCTTTGCACTTAAATTATTATTGAACATATCCTGAATATTTCTGTAGTGGTCAGTAGTGAATTTCTATTTTTTGATTATGTAAATGTCTCAAAAATATATACATTACTTACATTTAGAAAAAAAAAACAATACATTATAACCCTAAAAGCCATGCTATGTGTGTCCAGAAATATATAAATCACCACCAGTCACACGGTTTCATGAACTAAAGAATGTCTGTGAAATGATGCACTGTGTGTGGTCTGATAGGTCTTGTGATAAATCAGATTGTATTTTGCATATTTAGTCTTCTAATTCAAGAAATTGTTCTATCCCTGAATCCACTGTAGCGTAAATAACAGCAAGTGTCACCGTATGACTGCTTTTTGTGAATCTACAATGACTGTGTTGTTCATCCTCCAGTTGTGAGCTGCAGCTGAATTGTACACTTAAATATTGTGTGTATGCAAACGTACACATGCGTATTCCAAACAACTGCTGTCATTTCAATAAAAGTGAAATATTTGTAAAATTTATTACGCATTCACATCAGTGTCATCATGCCGGGTGTTTTAAAAGTCCACCCTCACTCCTCTTCTTCTGATCCGAATCCCTGTTCGCTCGCTTGCTGCTCCTGCTCTGTCTGCACCCGGATTGCGGGAATCATCACACGCCTCTTTCTTGCCAGGGAGAGAGCGATGCCTTTCTCGTAATAAGCACATTCATTGATGAAGAAAGGATAAAGAGGTTCTTTGCCTTTATACCTCAGCGTTTCACCTGAGAAAGTCTGGAACAGTGGGTCTTCGGGGTGGAGCAGGCAGAAGTCTCGGTCCTGTGGGGAAGAACAGCCAGTTAGGTTGATAACTAATGAGCAACACTTGTCAGATTTCAAATTTGTGAGGCCATCTTCACACACACACATGTATATGTTATACAAGTTTGACATTTTAAGAAACTGAGATATACTTTCAAATCAGTTTTGAGTAAGTAGAACCACCATTTAGACGATTTGTAGTTTAACTTTGTGATTCAACTTAAAGTTTAGTCAGGCTTTATTTCATTATTAAAAACACTGTACAGGCTGCTCCAGCGATTTAGTATTGCACTTTCATAAAGCTTGAAAAACGATTCAAAAGCATGATAACAGCTTTCGGTTTGATGTACAAGCCACCAGGCATTTAAAACCCATGTTAGTAATGGACTGGAGGTCCCTCATGATGGTGTGTACTGATTAGAAATCACGATAACAGACAAAGTCCTACTTCAAACCTGCCTCCTAGGTGATTGCTGCCTTCATCACAAGCCTACAAATGACTACAGATCTCAATCATCACTTGTGACAGCTAATAGCAGCTTTTCATTCCAGTCACGAACAATGTCAAAGCATCATATTCAGAATACTTCAAACACAATCCGCCTGTTTCTATTCCTGTTTAATGATGTTACCACATTGGCGGCCTGCGTTTTCATCACCCATCACATAGTTACATTGTTGTTATTTGATTTTCTTTCATTCATCTTGTAAATTCCTATTGTTGTGTTTTTTCGTAACAACAAAATGCTTTTGTACATAGTAACATAGATGCTCCTGTCTTCCTACTTTATTATTGATTTACTACTTTTATATTGAGGATAATACTATTTCATGGGTTAATAATTTCAACATAATTCCTAAAGCAATGTAATTAGATTAGAAGATAGGAATTTTCTTGAAAGAAAAGCTCAATTTAAACCTCAGTAAATACTCATAAAGAATAAGCATTAAATAGAAACATAGAAGCATTAAAAAACTCTATTCGTATATGTATGCTTGCCTGTAGACACATTTCCCAGTTTTGCATGTTCAGCTGACCTGCTGTGCACTAACTAAGGATCCTCTAGGTCAGTGGTTCCCAACCTGGGGTCCGCGCCCCCCACTGGGAGGCGCCAGAGATCGCAAGGGGTGCACACAACTTTGTCTGCTGAGGTTGTGAGGTTACCAAAATTATTGTTTACAAAAGTTAAATTTAGAAAATCCTAATAACACACCCATTTGGATAATCAAAACTCTGTATAATCCAAATTGAAACATATTTTTGGTCCACATTTATTAAATTTCATTTAATTTATTAAGCTATTTATTACCTATTTAGTGTGTGTATGCGGGGTTGGGTTGGGGTTGGGGGGGCCTGACTTGTCTTGGACACAGGCAAGGGGGGCTTCAAGGAAAAAAGGTTGGGAACCACTGCTCTAGGTTATACTAGCAATTTAGTGGAATTATTGAATAGTGTGTAGTTTATTTTCTCTTTAGGTAATAAAAAGTTACATAGTTCTCTCTATAACCCCGCCAAGGAACAGGATTTGTTCACAAATTATAGACATATAAAAAAAAAAATCATGAGTCATCCTGTGGAGTTTCTGGTTGATAAGATTTATTGGATGCTATCCAGCCACAATGCGTATTCAAATCTGTTAATTATAGCAGATCTGTATGGTATGAAAACCAAGGTGTGTACCTTTATTGTTCTTTGGTATGAAACCCTTTTACATGAAGAGGCCCCACCCTGTGCTGTGAACACTCATCCTTTATATGGTGTAATATTCTACAATGAAAATGACACACACAGACACAGACACTGACCCAAACACCAATTTAAACAGGTGAAGCCATTAACTAGATAAATAACATGATTAATCCCATTGGTATAAAATCTAAACAAAGGAAGATTATTTTTATTGGAACAAAAGGTCATTATGTAATTAAATTGTATATTGTTAGGTAGTTTGTTTTCATATTGTTGAGTTGTCTTGTTATTCATGGTTCTTATTTATTCAAACTTCATTGACCGGGCTACGTAGCATTTCATTCTAACAAAGGGCAGCTTCTTTTAAATCTTGAAGCCATAAATACATCTCAGACTGTACCTGGAGTTGAGGATGAATGGCTGCTATGATGTTGTGAGTCTCGCTGTCTCTTGGGTAGTCGATGTGTTTAACCATGGTGAACACGTCCACAAATCCTCCTTCGATAATAGTTCCTGAAAAATAAAAGCGGAACAAGCAAAAGAGGGGCTTAAAAGATAAACAAAGTTCGCAAGACTTGTACTTGTGTTTAGTTGTGTAGCAAAGCAAAAAATACACAATTTGTAACCTGTGCTTAATTGCACCTGAGTTGAAGAAACGGACCCAGTCAAGCATGTGCTGCACGCCAAATTTCATTGCCGTATAGATGTTTGACCTCACCACACCATGGGGTTGGGGGCCAATCTCCATGGCTGCAGAAAATGGATTTTAGACAACAAATATTACAGATGATCCATCATTCAAAAGCTTTTACTAAACTGATGTTACACTAAAAACTTACCGAAGCCATGTTTTCCCACTGAATCAAGGGAATATGATTCTTCTTTGGGGACATCGAAATGGATGTACCTCATTGGTATATCTGGCATCTGCCTCTGAAAGTGACACGTCAGACCTAACTTGAGATTTTTAGCATTACCAAGCATGGGTATGTATTCAATTCAAGTGTTGCCAATTTTTTAAGGTTTCTCAAACATGCAGGGTGAATTGATTCGGAGTGTGTAGGAACTGCTTGTGCTTGCCTGCAGGTGTTTGAACGTGTGCAGGCAGATCCAGTCGCAGTCCGAGTAGGCGATGAGGCACAGGCCCATGTTGGCTGTGGTGTTGTGGAGGTCACAAACAAGATCCACCGCCTCAGGACTTCCTTTGGGACCCAGCAAGGTGTTCAGCTCCTTGGATCTGATCAGCTCATAGGGGGCAGAGTCTGATAAGGGACCACTAGGAGGCAAAGAAACAACGTGATCACAACTCATTATCATCAGAAGCGTTACCATGATCACTGTCACCTTCTTAAAGCCACCTTACTTGAGGGAAGCATGGGTGAAGCAGCGGTTCAGGTCAGTCTTGACGTATCTGCGGCACTGCTGTATGGCCCACGGGTTCGACAGCACCAACACCACTGACACAGGCTTTTCCTCCTCCTCCTCCTCCTCCATCGCTTTCTTCTCCTCCTTCAGCAGTTCCCTCACCAAGTACACCCCAGACAGCTCGTTTCCATGGGTACCACCGCACACAGCGACCCGGGACAACCTTGGCAAACACACCACCTTGTCTACCTCCATCTGACTGAGAACAGGCAGATACAGTGGGGAAAAAGTGCAAGAATTTGAAGGCGCATGGAACAAAAAATATATTTTTTTAGTCCTCCAGTATGTCTGTACATTATGCATCCGGTTCTGAGCAGCACATGCACAGACCGAGTTGCATTTTCTCTGTTCATACACTGCTTGCACCTTTTTTTTATTCAGTATTGAAACAGCTTAATGTTGTTTCACTCAGTGGGAGGTATCAGTTACCTCAGTGTCACTGGGTACATTGTAGACAACACTGCAACACAAAGCAGAGCTATTGATTTGTGAAACCTTACCTCGTTTTTCTGGCTTGCTCAAAACTGTAAAGGGGCAGTTCCGACTTTAAACCCTATAAATGTACTGTAGCACTGAAATTAAAAGTCTGTTTAAAGTCTCTTAACTGAGGAGAGCTTGAGGTAAAACAGGGTGAACTGTCAGCTCCGTATCCATAAATAAGAGATTAAATGAATGACGAAGCGTCATACTGTACATCTTACCCAAGCCGCTACCTTTCTCTTCCCTCTCCCCCTGCCGTTTACCCTCTTCCACCCTCTCCCAGGCTTTCATGCAGTTTTACTGATTCAGCATTCCCATCCCTCCCTCTGTACAGGCTGTAGCTGCCTGTTATGCAAACTCTCACCGTCTCTCTACCACCTCTTGTCCACTGCACTGCACTGTACTACACTGTATCATAGGCAGGGTGTGTCCTGACTGTGACGCGGTGTATTGGTTGCTTCCTTTGGTCCCAACAGCTGTGAGGTCTGCCGAAGCCCCTCCCCAACTTTCCCCAACTCCCCGTTTTTCTCTGCCCCATGTATAGGATGGTAGGTTCCAGTCTGCCTTTCAGAAAATTGGCTGAAAATAAATCTGCTGGCATGACACAGCAGGAGAGGCGCCTGTGGTGCGGACAGTGAAAGAAACAGCTCTTCTCGCAGGGGAATTAATTACCAACAAGCTGGTGATTTAAAGAGAGCACAAATTTAATCTTTAACTGTAAATACAAAGAGGATGGCAGCTAAAGGAAAAGTTCAAATAGAAGGTTAAAGCTTGTCTTGATACCCATTTTCTGAATGGCAACTACATTTTCTTTCTGTTATTGTAAAATGGCCTTTTAAATATAGGTGTTTAGTATGTTTGACAACTTTTATTGGAAGTTTTCATCTTTTTTATATTTTTCTAAGTTTGTATAATTGTTTGACTTTTACTATAGCCTGACTGATTCTGGATTTTTAAGTTAAATACCAACATCGCCACGTGTAGCAGCAGACATTCTTTCCTTTTTTTATGTATTTTTTTTTCTTATCTTAATGCATAATACAACATTTATTAAAGATGCCTTTTACAGTTAACCAAAAGTCGACAGCTATGCTAGCAGCTTTGTGAGGCTATATGCTTCAAGTTAAATGCTCACATCAACAGGTCAACATGTTGCTGTTAGCATTTAACATGTTTACTTGTATGTTTACCACGTTCACCATCATAGTTGTGTATTAGCGTACTGACATATGCTAATTAGCTGGAAACATAAAGTACAGCTGAGTTTTGCAAGCATTTAGTCATAAACCAAAGAAGACAAATGATACAAATTACAATCTTCACCTGATGATGGCACTAGAGAGAAGGTTACCAGTTATTACAGTTCATCCTGAGGTGAACATATATTCCAAATTTTGGGACAATCGTGATATTTGTTAAGATACTGAGTCTACACCCTCCAGTTATTTAACGATCAGCACGCCAATACCGATATATGTGCCATAAGTGATTCTTATGTCCTGTCATTGTCTTTTATTTTACTACCTCTCCATTGTAAATTCTTCAATTTCACAAAGACGTCTGGTACAAATCAACTGAGATATTGTAACACCTGTGCATGTACAAATACAGTATATATAAATATATATATCACATATTACAATCAACTGGAACACAAACTAGTTAGAGTATGTTTTCATTGTTTTTTTTTATTATTTTGACAACATATGTCATCCCATTTGAAGCTCCAGCTTAACATGAGGACAGAAATTCCCAAACAACTGATTTGGCAAATCTTTGTGTTCCCTAATCAATAACTAATGAACATGTTGGAACAAATGAAATTAAAGGACAGTATGAAAAGCTATTTGTTTGACATCACAGCATTTGTTTATTACAGATTATTTTTCTTTGTTAATACAAAATACTGAACAATGTCATGTAACTCTTCAGTTAAGTATGGAAACTCCCTTTTTTTCTGAAAATGAAGACCGTCCTCTTCCAGTAATATGAGAGGAACCAAAATACAAGAAAAAAAAAAAAACTACCTTACAGTTATTAATACTATAATATGAATTTCTATACATTTATAAAATCATAGTTATTTGCAATGCTTCTTTGTTTCTTTATTCTTCATTTTTAAGTACACTTACAAACAAAATTATGAAATTCACACACACGCGCACACACACACACACACACACACACACACATTGTATCCCATGTTTTTGGTGTCAAAATGTACTTGCATATGTATGAACTCTTCAGCAGATACACAAGAGTGTGACGTTTATTTTCAACACTGCATTTACTTTTCTTTTCTCATTTGTTTGTGTTCCTCTCAACACAAAAATCACACCAAGTATCCCACACTTGCCAAAACTATTTTTACTGCCATGTAACTTAGTTAGCATTCACTTTATCCGCACAATGGCCCCACGTTATTCCAATGCTGCGGAAATGGGTAATTTCGTTAATTGTTATTGAATTAAACTGCACTAAAGTGGAGATTTTTCGCAGCATTGGAACAAGCTTTTGCCATTTTGCAGCTCTGTAGTCTTTCCCTAAGAAACCAGCTACAAATGTCAGCATCATATCCATTCAGGTGCGATGTAAATACAAGTGACAGCATTTCTAAGGCGAAAAGAGAGGGTGTTTAGGCCTTGTAGCCTCATGAACAATTTCCAACATAATTTCCATCAGGCCCTTGTAAAGGGAAAACAAATCTCTTCTAACTATAACTATGACAGTGTGGAGGTTCAACCAGTATTTTGGACAATCATTTCTTTTTTTTTTTTTTTTTAAACACAGTATACTGCACAGTGGCAGTGTTGTAAAGTGATGGAAGAGCAGATATGCAGTCACACACACAAGCACACTAGAACCTTCACTTCATTACATTAAGACACTAAATCAGAGAGATGAACAAGAAATCCTCACTAACGTTTTGAAGGCCACCAGTCAACATTTTAATGAAATCATTTTAATCATATTTATATATAAATGTATATATTAACCAGGTCTTACCACCCCTTTTTTTTTTAGAGTTATTACCAAAGCACACAATGCTGTGGATGACAATAGGTACACTACATTATCTCACAGGGTGTTATCAGCACAAAACCTCTTCTGCTCCTGATCTGAGAGACTAAACAGACTTGAGCAGAGAGACTAAAAAGAATGATCTACTGTAGATTCGGAAGCACTGCCCATTTCATTTCCGCCCCCTTATGCTCAGCCTGACCCGAGTCAAAGCAGCAAAACATTTGCATTTCCAGTCCTCTCAGATGTGTGACAGCAACAAGGGGACTCAAGGAGACAGGAACCAAAATGGGATGAGGGAGGTCAGAGGAAAAACCCTGCTCCCCTCTCTGGATCAGACAGCAGTGACCGTCCTGGAGATCTCTTAGAACAGAGAGCCACTGGAGGGAGGCAGTCGTCCAAGTGTGGTGGTGGGGGGGGCGACAAGCCAGCCTTTGTGGTAGCTGTCCACCAGGCGGCTTCGATGGATCAGTCTCTTCAGGGCACTTTCGCAGCTAATGCCGAGGTCAAAATATGTCTGGGCAGCCCTCCCAGCTGCCACGATCCTTAGCTTCCCAATAGCCTCCCTTATAGATATGCACTTGCTCACCTGTGATCCGGTCCTCACAGCGCTCGAACCAAAGAGCCTGGTAGTTCTCGTGAGGTGCGCCTGAAAGAGAGAAAACTTGTGTTACCAAAAAAGATGAAAGAAAACAATTTAGACAGAAGAACATTTGAACAGAATGTAAAGCATGAGGAGGTGACAGTAAGAGATACAAAAAGAGGAGTACTTGCTTTTTAAGGAGGGATCAGTTACAGAGTCCTCATCGACAGCTTTTGGAAGAGAAAAGGGGGATCACAGAGATTTCTTTTTTTACCCCTTAATTCCAAGATTTGCCCCATGAAAGGTAGAGAGGAATGCAGAGGTAGTAAAGCATTAACACACTGGACGCTCACCTTCTTCTGACTGGCTGGAGGTGCGCTGGCTGGCAGCTTCCCTCTCTCTCTCCCGCCGGACGCTGCGCTGCTTCTCCTCCAGCCGCTGCTTCTCTGCATTGGCCTCGTCCCAGCGGCCATCCTCCATCAGGCGCTGGTCGGGCCGGCGCCGGCTGTCGGTGGGTGCCATGCCCTCCTCAGGCTCGTTTAGGGTCAGCGCCAAGGTGGTGAAGTAGTACATGGTCTCTGCTCCCTCACTGCGGTGGAGCAAAGACGAAGAATAGCAGCACGGAAAGTCAAAACTTGTTACAAAACACACTGCTCTATATTTGGTAATGCTAATGTTTTCATTTCCTGCTTTAAAAAAAAAATGTATTTGTGTTTCAGTGGGCTGAACAGACATATAATCAACATTACTCACTACAATTGTCATTACTGATGGGAAAACCGAAGAAAGCTCACCTTTTTAATCTTGCTTTTAAGTCTCTTGTTGTTGCCTCTTGCTTACTGTATTTAATATTCTGTTTTATTGTATTTTAAATAGTTTGAAACCTTTAAATCTAAATGTCTTAATCTTGTGTAAAGCACTGTGCAGAAAGTATGAAAGGTGCAACAAAGGAAGTTTATTGTTACCATCATAAAAAGAATGCAAACACAATGAGAACAGATCAAGTACCATCGTGGGAACACTTCTCCAATAGGCCTTAGTCAATATGGAAGTACACATGGTAGGTAAGTGTAGCTACTGCACTCTGCTGTACGGTTGAGTATAGTTCAGCTTTTAGGTATTTTAATAGCAGGTGTTTTATTGTGGAGGTGGGCCTGAAATAGAGAGGAATTTGTTTCAGCTGGTATTTGCTGCCTTAAAGAATCTTTTGCCATAAATGACTACGTATTTTGTGATTCTGTATGTTTAAAAGGTAAAAATAAATAATTAAGGAGTATTTTGCACAGTGATTACATTCTGCTGGATAACTGCGGCCTTTAGAGCGCTTTTCAGTCTATCATAGTAAAAAGACCATAACGTGTGTTGATGCAGTCTCAGCCTGCAAAGTAAAACCGGTCCAAACTTTGCTTTTATGACAACCTCAGTAATATCAGTCATCAGTAAAGGCATGTCAAAATATCTGGTTCTCATCCAAGGAAGTGACTAGGAGGATGTTATTTCTACACCGCAATATGATTCATGTTACAAACACACCTAACCATGCAGCTGCACCAGCTCTAAGTGTGGTTTGAAATTGATTGATTAAAGAGCTAACTTTTGCTGTTTATGACCTCTCTCCACGCAATATATTTGACATCTAAGATCCTTGCACTTTTATATGTTCCTTATGTGCTGCTGAAAACAAAAGTGAAAGAGCATTTGCAGTCAGAGCCCCGAAGCTATGGAATAAGCAGAATCAGCAGCCTCTTTTAAACAACACCGATTTCCTGGTTTTACTCATTTCATCTGCTAATTACTCTCGAAAACTCCTTTTCTGTGATCTACTTGATGTGAAGTTGTTGCCTTTTGTAACGTGTTATTAAATAATATGATATAATAATACTTACGGTAGAGGGTTCTTTCTCCACAACTCTCTGGCTTTGAGGGTTTGATAGACCGTCTTCTGTTTGCCCTCTGTGCCATTCTCCCCTCCTCGGCTGCTCTGCATTACCCGGGAAAACTCCATTTTCTCATCCCACGTGCCCGACAGCACGTAGTGGGCCTTGCCATCCTTGTCCATCACCACACCGGTCACCTGAACAAAGGGGGGGGGGGGAGCATCATGAGCCATGAAACAGAAGAGGCTTGTCACAGGATGGAGGGCAAAGAAGTGTAACTGTAAAACTGTAGATCGGTGGAAATGATGCCACAGGATTTTCCTTTTGCAGAGAACATGAAAACATAAATACAAAAAAAAGTTTCATGTGGTAAATTAAAAGGGTTATTTTTCTCACCTTCCTGGCCACGTCTCTGGAGAAGTAGCTGTAAGGAGCAAACTTCAAGTGGCAGCGGTCTCCGGTGGTGTGGTTCACTACGTCTATCTCTCCCGACTGGCACAGAGAGAAAGAAAGAGAAGGTTTTGAGGAAATCTGACACAGTGAAGACATTTTCATATTCTACCAAACAAAACAACATGCAAGTCAGGAACCATTTCAAAGGATTTCATCTGTACTTGTCACCTATACAAACAATATGTGTAGTTAAATGCAAGGTAGTGTACTGTTGTGTAGTGCTTAAGTGGATGGTTACATGAAAATGTATGAGTCACAATTGTAAGGCAAATTATACAACAAAAAACGTTCTCATACTTATCACTTATTCTTAATTGGTAACAGTGGCAACGTCTGCGTATAGCAGATAGTAGCCCCTTCTAACGTGTTACATTTTTGTTTTAATCTGGTTTTTTTTGTTTGTTTTATTGTTGAAAACGTCAGTGAATGACATCTGATTGGGTTTGATTTTTAAGGGCTATGTCAAACTTATTCAAAATTGACAGGACCAGGAGATTTTGACTATGGCTCCTTCAAACTTGAAACCATTTTATGGTTAATCACTATGTTCTTCTGTTTATATTCCCCCAGACACAAATTTAAAAGATGCACTGCTGAATTAAATTTTCTGGTGGTGGGGGTGTCTGTTATTCTACAAGTGTAATTGTTTTTCTTTGTGTGTAGCAGGAAGGAACTGAAAACTTTCTTTTTGTTTTACAACCTTGTGTTGTATAAAACATTTCCTTGATTTCCGTATACCGTCTTCAATACTTCTGGTTGCATAAGCCGGGTGAAGGAAATGCAAATCAGTTCATGGCAATACAGGATTGCCATGAACTGGTTTGAGGCGTGAACTGATATTTTATCTGGTCATTTTATCTGGTCATGGTCTTTCAGGTGAATTTGCAGAAAGATAACGATAATAAATTGCAATATAAATGTTCATATACCGTGATACGACTTTTCATCCATACCACACCACCTCTTCTTAAACTCCACTAACAACTGAGGAACAATCTGTGGCTAAAGACAAGACACTAACCATGTAATTGAAATAGGTGATACAAGTTTGACTTTGCCAGGGAACCTTTGTAAAATTCCCCTTTTTGCTTTCGTTTCCGGCTACAAAAATACCTAAAAAAATACTTGTATACTAGCTAAAGGAGGGTGCGTCTGTTTATTCAAAGCTTTGTTCAAATGTGTCATCTTGCTTCGACTCACCTGATCAATCCATAGTTTTCCTACAATAATGTTGTGCACTGTGGTGGTAACTTTCTTCCATGTGTAGTGATTGTTGCTCTTCTCAAAGATTGCATGAATCGTGCCTGTAAAGAAAAAAAGCAATAAAGACAGGATAAACAACAAACCACATCTGACAAAACAAACCATTTTGTTATTCAATACTTAACATTTCGATTAAGCCAAGGTGTGACTCACACATTCCTCGAGCTTTAATCACTGATCTCTTATAAGAACACTATAATGATTGGTTTGCATCACACCCTAATCCGACGTCACAATCAGACCGAAAAGAACGTTTAACATGTTAGGAACAAGAGTCTTACCCAAAGGCATGATGGAGAGGTATTTGCCCCTGAACTTGCTGGCGACAGTGATCTCTTGCCTCAGGGTCCAGCCACGATCAGAGATCACATGATGCGCTGCTGCAGGGGGGTGGTGACTCACCTGTGACAGAGGTCACGACTACATGAAGTGTCCATTTTGATTTTTTTTAAAAAGAACAAAGCTTGGGGTGTGAAAACATGGTCATTGAGTGCAATTAGCTTTGTAGGTTTGGATCCTCCTTTGTCATTAATGACTCACATTTACTGTTTAGACACAGACACATTTACAGACCTGTCACGTATGAATAAAATACTCTGTTGTTACACCGAGGTGCTTGAAAATCCCCACGATAAATCTCAAATCCAATTATATTACTCATCTACAATAGGATTTAATAGTTGCACCCACTTGCCCAATCTCATTTAAAGCCTTTGTAACATAATTAATCCAGTCTATATATATTTGCTGCCTGAACACACAATTTATGGGCTTATATATTAGACTGAATATATTTCCTTGTTCTTCGGGAATAGAAATCTTTCTACCGTTCTTATTTTCCAACATTAAACTTCTATTCAGTGCAATTGCCTCCACAAATCCTTCCCAGCCTCTGTATACATTTTTTTTTCCACATTGTGCATCTACTTAGCCATAAAACAAGAAAACGGAAGTTACTTTTTCACCTTGATATAATAATAATGGTATAATCACGTATGTTTAACCATCCTCCAACCCTCAATTATGACAAGGCTTCCCTTCGAGTCCTGATTTCATTAGTTTACACTCATGAATTCCAGTTCCCTCTAACATCCCCTGTGCATCCCCAAATACATTAAAAAAAAAGGAAGCAAACCCCTCTCAACATGCTGAGTCAGTATGATTTTTCAAGTCACCCTTCCTGACATCCATTCTTTCTTGAGTTTCACTTCCTTTGTTGGAAGCATTCTGTCTTTCTACATTTCTTTTGTTCCCATACCTGCTCACACAGGGAGCGGTAGCCGCTCTCTCTCCGGCGGTCCAGCTCATACGTCTCTCCTAGCAGAGGGTTGAAGGGCTTGCCTGTGCGGTGGACGGTGGTCGAGTAGGAGGACACGGAGAAGGCAGCCACGTAGCACATTTGCTCCAGCGAACTCTGGCACTTGGAGGCCTTATCCAGCAGCTCGTGGTACTCGAGGTCCTCCGACAACCGTTGCAGCATGGAAATGGGCTCGTTGAAGTTCACCTACAGAGCGCAGAATAATATGGATGTGAATTGAGTTTTAACTCTTCTCTCTTATCTTATTTTCAGTGCCTATGAGATTTAGTGAGATAAAAGTAGGTCGACTCCTAGCAGGTATTAAAGTGTTGGAAAATGTCAAGAACTGACTACAAGTGCAATTGCTATTTCTATCATATTACCACATAAGCAACATCATCATCTTATTTTGTACAAGTTGTATAAAATTTCACCTCCCTCGCTTAACCCTCCCGTTCCAAACACAAAGGAGAAACTACAGTGGCTGCGAAATGCGTGAAAAATGCAAATGCCCCTATCTAGAGCCAGTGTTTGTCCATTCTGGGCTATTGTAGAAACATGGCGGTTCAATATGGAAGGCTCATCCTAACGTAACATAAACACAACAATTCCTAGATTCAGCATATTATATTCCAATAGATTGTCCTAAATGTGACACACTGGACCATTAGATGATTGAAATGGTCAAACGTTGTTTACAGGCAATCGAGCATACTAGAGACCAGCATAAGTATAATACAAGCAAAGTGAAAATTCAGTCAAAATGCTCTTTTTTGGTTCACACTTTTATGTGTGGGGGGACAGAATTTGGAACAGCTTACCGGACAGCATGAGAAACTCTGAATCTGATCTGATTTTTTAAAAGGTTAAAAGTTTAAAAAAGGTATTAAATAGGGCTGCACAATAAATCAAAATATTACCGAAATCAGAATACTGCCAAGTGCAATATCCAAATCCCGGAAGGGGCAATTGCTTGATATAGGACATATGTGTGATAAAGCAGCATTATAGTGAAGTACTGGAGTTCTGCAGTTTTATCCAGCGTTCAATTTCTGTTTCCATTTTATATCTTGTTGTTTTCATACGCACTGTAGAGTCACCTGGACGATAAACAAAACAGAAAACTAAATAAAGATCACAGATGTATATCTACAGTATTTCTTGGATGGTTATCAAATAAACAAATGTATCTTGATAACTGACTCTCCAAGGAGCTATTTAAAAACGCAGATGACTCCAACAGAATGTTGTCGGCCCTGTATCGGAGACACAAAGAGGCTCTTTCGATTGAATGCACGTCAAAAGGAGCGTGTGAGAAGTACAAAGTCTTTAATGCCCTGTCATGACCTTAATGGGATTAGATGTAACAGTGAATACTTAGTCACCACACAAAGATGTGACTGAAAAAAGCAGAAGGGTTGTGTAAGAGGAGGTGAAACTGCCCCTCTTTGCCAATACTCACAGGCATCGGGATTTTGGACAGCTCTTTGCCAATACAGTTCTTCATGATACTCCACAGGTTGAGAGAATAGTTGGGTTTGTCTGATATGCGTGTCCGCCTCTTCTTCAAGGGCACCAACTCCTGAGAGGGAGATTCCTGGTTCATCGCTAGAGGCTCCTCATTAAGCTAAAAGGCAGAACATATTATCAGTAAAACAGCAGAAATGCCTTTGGAAATAATAAAGCTTAAAAAAAACAAGATTCATTGAGTGAAGTCAAGTGTTCCTGATTTATCACAATGGCAGCACAATCACACTTTTACTTATAAGAAATCTACCGCCCCGCTGCAGCTTTACAATGAAACTGTGGATTTACTTCCAATAAAAGATGGTAAACAACATTTTACTGGAGTTTTAGTTGAAAAACATTTAACTGGTGTTTTTAACAGTCATCCCAGAGGCCAGAATGAGACCTACCGATTGATCATCCAGACACATTTCACTGTTAAAACCGCTGATATTACTGCTTGACCTTCTGTAAGAGATTAGAAAAAAGAAAAGAAATTCTGTCAGTGCCGAGAAGGTTTCTGATTACATAAACAGCCAGTTTAACATACAAGGAAATGGGATAAACTGAAATCAATCGAGTCGCTGAGTCACACAGACCATGATTACACAAATAAAAATTAAAATGAAGAAATCTAGTATGACTTTGATATCTTGTGACCTGGATGTCATACAAGGAACTTGGTTGAATAAATAAATCTCCACACAGATTTAAACCGTAGGGGGAATTTATAAAGTTTTCCCTGAATGAAGATGACATGTGCATGTGGGTGTGTGAGAGGACACTGACTTGTGGAACTGCGGGTCTGCAGGTACAGTGATAAACTCAGGCGCCTCTTCCATGGCATCAAAGAACTCATTGTCATCGTCCTCATCGCTGGCCTCACCTTTTCCGGGCCCGGCGGCACCTTCACAAAAAAAAAAAAAAATCTGTTATGTTCTAATAGAGAAACTGAAAACAGATTTACCAGTTATAACTTTTAGAATAAACCTTTTCATGACAATATTGCATGAAATAACACATTTCTTGATATCTTTTTAAAATACAAAATCTGCTGATGATTGATGTACAAACTGTAACATGTATTTTTAGGCATTGAGAAGATTCTCACATCTACAGAGACGTAACAAAGAGTGGAAAATCATCCCCTAATGTTCAAGATCACAACACTTTAAGCGACCAACAAATGAATAAGAATAAAAATCAGTGAATTAAGAAAATGGAGTAAAACAGGCAGGTTTTCCAGAGGGCAAGAGGAGAAGGGAAGGAGGAAGTGGAAAGAGGAATGAGTGACCAAACAACTGACAATATCCTGTAACTGTAACTCGGGAAGGGGTCTACAGTCAGGGTCACGTCTTACTTTTATTGTCTGCAGTAGCATTAGCCTGTGCAGCCCCTCTGAACGCTCGCTCCAGGTGGTTGTGCTGCTTGGCCAGCTGCTCTAAAGTCTCCTCCAGCCTTACCCGCTGGTCCCGTTCTGCTTGTAGGGCCTTCTGCCAACGCTTGCTGTGAGCCTGAGCCAGTGCGAGGAAGTCTCGGCACGCCTGAGGAGCCAAAAATCAAAACAGGGGCAAATTTTGAAAACCCAAGATCCAATAAATATGAGCAACTTTGACCAGCTAATAGAATATAGATTATAGTATTGATTCACAAGGCCCATTCTCGTTTATACATTATATATCAGCAGCAAGACGGAAGTGGATATGCTGGGAGAGGGGGGTGAAACTTACGTTAATCATGGCATTAGAGGTGATACGGAACAGCGTGGCCCTCTCAGTCACCTGACGAATCTTATCCCCAGCCTCTCCTGTCAGACGCAAACTGTCCAGCTCTGATAAAGACCTGTAATTGAGACATTGAAATTGAAACAGTTGGGACAATATATCAACAATTGACAGTGTAGATTATTATTCATTATTATAATTAAAAGAAGAGTTTATTAATCTCCACTGGAGAAATTATTCTTTTCTTTTTTTACACACATACAACCACAAACACGCCAATGTGGAGAGATGGTGGAGTGAGAGTATAATGTCATAACACATACTGTTTTGTCAGTCAACTGCAGTATTTATTTATCTACAAGCCACCCGCTTAACTTGCAAGTGGAACACCGCACCAACTTAGCAGAAGAGACATGAGAATAATTCATATGAATAATAAAATTAACTGGGCTAAATAATCCCATTCCAAATTTGAATTTTGTTTATTACATTTTCTCTCATTTGGGTGACCTGTACTCTATTTCAAGTTGTAATTATAATGTAGACAGACTCCCTGTAACATGATCTGTATCCATAAAACAGGTCCTTCTAGCCTGGTGTTTGATATATAAACACAACCTCAAACCACACAGTTGTCTTCTTTCGAATAATAAAGACGTTTTGTTGAAGAACATATCAGATTCTGCTGGTCTATCATTCACTAGGTTGGGACTACTTTCCCACGACAGAGTTCTTATCTCCATACAACTTCTTAGTAACCCCTATTCCAATGTCTTATAGGAATGTAGTTAGGTCTACACACAAGTATGCATCACTTCCCAACCCATGAGAAAAATTCACTACGTCCCCTGAATATTAATAAAGCCATAAATGCCCTATTTTAAGAAGATGTTGTCTCTATTCCATATGTCACTGCCTATTAGAATCAGCTTGTAAATTATATATATTGAAATAAGGTCAGGTTGATTCCTCACGAGACCCTACTTGTGAATCAAGTTATGGAGGTGTTTAAGATTATTCAGTCCCCTGCCAATCACTACATACAGAAATATACAGAAGTATATAATTATATTGCCAAAAATGTAAATTTAGTCATAAAAAACCTTATTTTGTTGTTTTCCTGAAGGATGTTGAACAATGTAAATAGTGTATTTAACAAACAACTCCCAAGACACCTACTGCCTATGTGTTTTATAATATTTTTGTCTACTGTGATATACCCCTGGCTCTTTTCTTATTGTTTTACTTGTATACTATCCCTGTATACTGAATCTGTTATTATCTTTTTTGTTATTTAAATAAAAAAGAAAAAGAGAGAGACATGAAACTCATTCAACGTTGGTCTGAGGACTACAGGATGAAGCAAATAGATTGGTAAAGCCTGACCTCTGGAGGGCAGAGCCATGCTTTGAGATTAGGTCGTTGCACGTGCTGAGATCCTCCACTTTGCTGCCTAGTGTTCTGAGAGCAGACTGAACTTCTGAATTCTGTGACCCGCCACCTTGTCCGGGCGCCACCGGAGGGGATGATGAAGAAAAGTCATCCCCCGAGTCATCTGTTAATAATCAAAGCAACAGGGAGGCAATAAACATCAGCTTAAAAAAGGGTTAGAACCATTTAAACCCTACAGCCAATTAATATGAGCAACTTTGACCAGTTAATAGACTGTAGTATAGATTGGAAGGGCCCCAACCTGTACAGCTTAATTTAGAAAGAATTTAAAATTCACTGAATACTTGTTCCCTCTGCCGTGTGTTTGTGTGTTTTACCTGACTCCGCCTGCATGCGGGCCGCCTTGGCTTTGGCCAGTTCCAGGGCAGTGATCCAGCGCTGGCGTTCCACCTCACAGCTTGCCTTCAGGTGGTACGTCTGTGCCCCGCCATTGGAGATGACAAAGTTGCAGGCGTCGTCGACGGTGATAGTTGCTGTGGCCAGGTTTATCGTGCCTCGACACGTATGGCCCATCTCCGCCTGGGTTCTGATCCCATGTCAATGTGTCATAGATGGCAAAAGTTGTGAGTTCAAGACCCAGATGACGCACAATAAACATTTTTCTACTCATCTACCTACTCGGGCGTTTTGCTGTGTGAATTAGAGACACATAACTTATTTGATCTAATTGTATCTGTTTTACAAGAAAGCGTACCTGTAGTATGACAACAGCCCATTGCTCAGGACAAACCACCTCCGCTGATAGCCCTTGATGTAATTTGTCCACTTGAACACCCATCCTTTGTATGTGTCACCAGCAGGAACGGGAGTAGGGGTTTTGGGCTCCGACATCACAGCCCCCAAAACCAGAAGACAGATTTGAGGAACCTTGAACAGAAAATGAAAATTTGAGAGCTATTAATCAATTTGTAGATCGACACACAATTTATCAGCAAACATTTTGATAACTGATTCATTGTTTAACTCATTCTTTGGGCAAAAGTGCCACAAATTCACTGCTTCGATAATAAACTGAATACCTTTGGATTTTAGACTATTTATCAGACAAGGCAAAACATTTTACCGTTGACTTGTACTGTAAAATGGAATAGGCAGGTTTTCCCTTTTTTTTTTTACTTTTCATTGTGCAAACGTTTAATAAAAAAAAAACCTCAGCAGATTAACTAATAATGAAAATATATGTCAGTTGCAGCTCTACCTTTATTGTGCACCATGTCACCATTTTAATACCTTACTCTGATAGGTTACTAGTGGCAGATATTGATCTTTCAGTGTGGTGTGACGGGTCAAAGATTAACTATAAAATCAATACAGATTCATTGCTGACACACTTTAGGGAAGAAGAAAAAAACTAGTGTTTTAGCTGAAATTAGATGTTCATTAAAAGAGAGATGGCTTGTAATTAAAACACCTTAGTGTAGTTTAATTACCTATAAACGTAATTATCAATTGACACAGACACCAACAATTGGGAAAAAAACAAACAAAGTGTGATTTAAATGATCTGTCAGGGAAAATGTGACAGAAAATAATAACGACACAAAACCGATGAAGCTCCTAACATATGGACGAGACTGACACCAGAAGCTACCCAACGTTAGCTCCGCTTGGTCTACTGGGAGTCTGGGTAAATAACAGCTCACTGCTACAGCGGGAGCTGAAGTAAAGAAACACCGATTGTCATGTTTGCTCCAAGTTTAACCAGCTGACATTGTGCACATTTACAATACGGTGTGTGCGAGAGAGAGAGAGAGAGAGAGAGAGAGAGAGAGAGAGAGAGAGAGAGAGAGAGACGCCGCCAAACAATCTCGAACCTGCGAGCCAGAGTTCAAACTCGCCGATGGCTAACGATAAATGTTTACCTTGACGTGTCCGAAATGTGAGCTCAGGCAACCAGACACCCGGTGAAGTCACGGCTCACTTTGACACCCATACGCTACTGTACCGAGCTAGCTCAAGAGGCTAACTAGCGAACTGACCGACACCGGACAGCTAATGGGGGGAAAAAACCACTAAATCGAAGACGTCGACGGCAACAGCACTGGGATTGTAAACTAAAGTGACACCGACGACTTTCATTAGTATTCCTCAACAATCGTGTGTGTAATGTTCATTCTACGGCCGCGGACACCGACAGGAAAATAGAGCTAGCCAGCTAGCTACATCTAACTAGCCTAATGTTAGCTCGTTGGTTACACCCGGTGCAACAACTTTTTGGTCTCGTCTAGAAACACACAGCTAGCTGTATTGTTTGTCCCTGTTGACAGCGTCAAGATAACGCTTGGCCGGCGGTTTGCCTTCAAAGTAAAAGCACATTTTGCCAGTATTTGCCACATACAGTTGGAAAGCAGTGGTGTGGTGGTGCCTGGAGAGTTTATGTCCGTCCAGCAAAGTATAAACACAGTGACATGTAAGACTGTTCTGTGTAACTATAAAAAGGGCCAGTAGTGTTTTTGCACATTGTCAGTTAACTTGTGTTGCTCGACTTCAGTGAGTAAGGATAATTATGAAATTAACATTTGCCACAGAAGAGGTGCAGCTTTTACAACCAATACTGGCCCACAGACGGCTGACAGACGGATCAGTTAATCAGCTGATGTTATTTTTTTGACATTCTTTTATTCTGAAGGATACAAACGGAAGCCCACTTCATTGAATCTTTCTAACTTAACACGTTGTTAATTCTTCACTACTAACTAACTAGCCTTAGCTAAAGTTAGCAACACAATGCTAAATAGACTGTTGACATAAAATTATGTTAAAATTATAGTACAAGTTTTGGTACGCATTCACTACAGTTAGTTGCTAACGTTGTCGGTTGCTGGGGTTTGTTCACGTTGTTTGAAGGCAAACTAACCAGCCCGACAATGTAAATGAAAAATATAAAAGTTTACACAAACAGCATTTCTTTTCTTTTTTTTTTATTTATCGCGAGTCTGTACGAAAAACGAGGAGAGCAATGTGACTTCACCAGATGACAAGCTGGTCAAAGGCAATCATTTCAAAAAGGGATCTCAAAAAAATGCGACTCCGGTGGGACTCGAACCCACAACCTTTGAATCACTTCGCTTTAGCCTAGAAGTCCAATGCGCTATCCATTGCGCCACGGAGCCACCTGTTGCACTACTGCCACAGCAAAGCATTTAAAGTTTCTAATGGATACATTATTGTTTTCCTTTAATGTAATTGATTTCGGGGTGTGATTGATTTGTTTCCTCCTGCGAGTTTACGTTCACCTCACTGACGTCACAATACAAAAAAACTTTATTTGGGGAAAAAGTCAGCCTGCTGTGTGCCATATTAAAACACTGGATGGCGCTAAAGGGCCATATACATCCATATATTCAACACAGTTAACGTTTGACGATGGGATGAAGATGAACTGATAATAGAAAAATGCATGTAGATGACAAAAGGGTAAACTAAAACGCGCTTAATGTCGATGTAATTGAAGACTACACACGTTAAAGCCCACAAACTATATGGCTTCAGGGTTCAGTAGGGCAAACAATCTGGAATAAAAACATTTGGGTTTAACAGAAAAAGTATTGTTCATTTATATCCTGCTATTATTTGTACCAATTTCCGTCTTTAGCGTGAGTGCTTTCAGCTATCTGACACCCTCATTTCAAGTCAAGCTTGTTTTTCTGGTCCATATATATGGTATAAATACTTAATTAATAATTAAAGGTTCAGCCTCTTTGAAAACTTTCAGAGGTCGATACATCTTTAAAAACCAGAATACAACAACAACAAAAAAAAGGCCTGTAACCTGTATCACGCATGCGCAGTATGATGAAACCAGACACGGACACATTTATGACTGGCATTTTTTTCAAATGAGTTAGTTTGTACGTTAAACTAATTAATACTTAATCCTCTGCTTTGAGGCATTTTTCCGAAGGCGTGCACACATCCGGTGTGGCAGACAGGAATCTGGCTGCAGACGGAGGATAACCCTCTTGACTCCTGCGTGTCTTTGATATACATCCTGCCATGAGCGGAAGTGTCTGGGATTCTCAATCCATCCTCCAAATCAGTCGTTTGTAAAGAGAGACGGAGCGAAAACCGTCTGCCTCTCTTCCCACACCATCCCCTCCATCCATCAGCCGGGCTCCGTTTAATGTAGCCGTACATCAGCAACGGGACATGCTCCACCAGGTTAGGCATCTTTTTTTTTTTTTTTTTTTTTTTGAACTACACCAGACATGCGTAACTACGGACAAACCAGCACGAGAATAGCGGAAGATTTGGTAGTAATCCCAACGGGTGTTTATTTCTAATGGACGTATTTTGTTATAGGTCTGCGCAATCGACGTGAACGCCTGCCCGGACACAGGAGAGGATTAAGTTACTGTTTGCTGGCGGCGGATTATTTTATTGGCCTCCTCCTGTCACGCCCGAGTTTTTGGTGATATTTCTTTTTTTTTTTTGCTCCAATTAAGAGAGGTCGCTCAACAGCCAGGTATGCTATTGTGCTCGAAAATAATAACCTTGCCATTCCCTTGAAATGTCTCATTGTGGGATGAACTACGCATTAATACACGTCCTTTGTTGCCTGTAGTTACTCTTTGTAAAAAAAAAAAAAAAACAAGGCACATTTCCTCGTACTGTGTGCAGACAACAATAGAATCCCTTTTTATAAATGGTGTTTGAAAAGAAACCCACTGTGGGCATTTTGTAACAATGTTGCAGGGAACTAAAAGCACCATTACACGACAGGATAGCGCTATTTGGTAACATGGGTGTAAATACCGATGGAGGTGTTGCAGTCTTAAAAGAGCATGGATTGTGGGGCAGTTTTTTTTTTTTTTAACACAAGCTACTGGAAAGGATGTGAACTACAGCCTGCGTACCTGCCAAAATCCAATTTGCTTTGACAACTGTGAAGCATTAGGTAGATGGCATATAGAGTTACTGGCTCCCCTGTCTCAGCAGCTCTGTACTGCCCAACCCCCTTCCCCTCTCAGCCACAGCATGTTTTGGTTTCAGGCGGATCATGCCCTTTTGTCCACTGAAGCCTGACTGTACTTTTCAGGACAGACTCCCACCATGAAAGAATTTGCCTGCTGTTTTGTCAACCCCCCTTTTTTTCTCTCTCGCTGACAAGCCAAAGGATGTTGGGGATTCACTGAATAAACTGTAGGATTGTTGGGTGTGCAGTGGTTGTAGTTAGCCCGACGCGGTTGGAGAAAGCTGTAACAAAGTCCATTTGTTGAGACTCTTTTGGGATGGAAATGATTGAAGCCATCGTTTGGCATGTAGTTAGCTGACATTTAGCCATTCCCACATGAGATTAAACATAAAACACAGCTATTTATCAAACATTAAAGTATTACAAGACCGTCTTCCGAAGGCTTTCTCCCCTCTGAACTAATTTTCTTTGTCATTAATGTGGCACATGGAAATAAACCTACAATAGTGCTTGTAATTATTAACATTATGGCCTTAAAGTCAGCTGCAGCTCATGTGTTGGACTTTGGCACAAGTAGTTCTGTCTCAGGCTGTAATTAATTATTCTTCTCATTATCCAAAAAATGTCACAATATTCAGGTGCCCAAGGTGACATCATAAAATTGCAGTTTAAAGAAGCTTTGATCCATAGATGAAGTCCAAAATATTTATTGTACAATACTATTAAACTGAGAAAAACTAACATTTTTCCACATTTGAGAAACTGGAACCAGAGAAAGTCTTTCAAACAATAAATTTCCTGTTGATTAGCTGATCATTTCAGCTTCAGTCGCTCTCATTTGATCACATTTACCCATTTAAAGTTGTCCTGATAGAAAGTTTAAGGTACCACTTTTTCCATCTAATTCACTTGTCAGGTTTTCCCTCCACAGTTATGTCTTTCCGGCGAGGTGTCGTCAGGCAGAGCAAGTTCCGCCACGTCTTCGCTCAGGCGTGGAAAGCCGAGCACTGCATCGACGACGTCAGGGTGTCCCGCGTGACGTGGGACGGTCCCCTCTGCGCGGTCAACCCCAAATTCATTGCCATCATCATCGAAGCCGGCGGAGGAGGGTCCTTCCTCGTTGTTCCAGTCAGCAAGGTTCAAACCTCTCTGCATTACATTCAGCATCAAATAACCAGCGGATCAATACTTTTTAAAAGCCTCTATCTTGTTTCTGATCTTAGTTCTTAAAAGAAACACGTCAGCAACTCTTTGACGCCTCGCTCAACGTCTGGCTAATGCGTATGCAGCACTTTTACAGTGCCAAGACAAATAGTGGACAAAGGTTCTACCCCTGTGCTCCGTTTCTCCCACAGAGTGGCAGGATCGATCAGTCCTGTCCCACGGTGTGCGGCCATGCAGCACCGGTGCTGGACATCCAGTGGTCTCCTCATGACGACAACATCATTGCAAGTGCCTCAGAGGACTTCACAGTAAAGGTATCAGAATCAGAATCAGAAATACTTTAATTAAAAAATAAAAAATTATTTTCGTTACAACACTCCAGATATACAAACGACATATTATACAAACAACATATATATATACAACATTCAGCACAAAAAATATAAATATATATATATACAAGATCAAATGTACAGTATTAATGTGCAAAAAGTGCAAAAGAATGATTGTCTATGTTTTGAGTCAGAATTACAGAGGGCGGGTGTGTCTGACTCTCTGAGGGGGTGTTGTAGAGATTGATGACCATAGGAAGGAATGATTTCCTGTGGCGCTCTGTGGTGCATCTATGTGAGAGGAGTCTTCTGCTGAAGGTGCTCCTCTGCTGGGCCAGTGTGTCGTAGAGAGGGTGTGAGACATTGTTCAAGATGGACTGTAGCCTGGACAGCGTCCTCCTCACTGCCACGGTCGTCAGGGTGTCCAGCTCCTCCCCTACGACATCACCGGCCCTCCTGATCAGTTTGCTTAGTCTGTTGTTGTCTGCGACCCTCAGCCCACTGCCCCAGCATGTGACAGCGAAGAAGATCGTACTGGCCACAACAGACTCATAAAACATCCTAAGCATCGTCCGGCAAATGTTAAAGGACGCAGCCTCCTCAGGAAAAAGAGTCGGCTTTGGCCCTTTTTGTAGACCGCCTCAGTGTTTCTAGTCCAGTCCAGCTTATTATTAAAGTACACCCCCAGGTACTTATACTCCCCCACAGTGTCCACAGGGACCCCCTGGATGGAAACAGGGGTCACTGGTGTTTTTGCCCTCCTCAGATCCATAATGAGCTCCTTCGTCTTTGTCACATTGAGCTGTAGATGGTTCAGCTCAGTCCAAGTGACAAAGTTGCCCACCACAGTCCTTTATTCACTGTCATCACCCTTATCTGTGCAGCCAACTGTTGCTGAGTCATCAGAAAACTTCTGAAGGTGGCAGGACTCGGTGCAATAGTTGAAGTCTGAGGTGAAGAGGGTGAAGAGGAAGGGAGAGAGGACAGTCCCCTGTGGGGCCCCAGTGTTTCTGACCACCTTGTCAGACACACAGTTTTGTAGGCGTACGTGCTGTGGTCTGCCCGTCAGGTAATCAACAATCCAGGACACGATGGGGGCCTCCACCTGCATCGCAGCCATCTTCTCACCCAGTACAGCCGGACGGATGGTGTTGAAAGCACTGGAGAAATCAAAGAACATGACTCTCACAGTGCTCGCCGGTTTATCCAGATGAGTGTAGACTCTGTACAGCAGGTAGATGATAGGGTAACAGTTTCAGGCCTTCCTGGCGGTTTGTGGCTCTTAATCAGTCATCTGTGTGGGCATAAGTCACCCTGACCTCAGTTGTGTAAACTAGGTTTCTAACAAGTGAACTTCTTTCTTCTTCAGTTAAAGGGGAAAAGCAAGTAATCTATTTTTGTTGCTATTTGAGAGTTAGATAGTGTCCCATGATGAAAATACTGCTTCAGAGCCATGTTTCATTCAGTATGGAAAGCTAATGAGGTCTTTTCCCTGCCGTTTGATGTTTACACGTGTTTTTAATCTAGTTTTATATCACAAGCAAACAGCGTGTTCCAGCACACGTGTGACGGCGGAGGGCCCACTAGGACCCCTTCTGCCTGCTGGCGGTCAGAGTGTGCAGGTGC